AGTGCCTTTACTTTGTTTTATTTTTATGTGGTGCTAAGGATCACACATACAAGGCAAGTGCTGTAGCCCCAGACTCCCTGCCCTTTTTTAATTTTTCATTTTGATACAGGGTCTTGCTGGGTTGCTGAGACTGGCTTTGAACTTGCTATCCTCCTACCTCAGCCTCCCAAGCCACTGGATTACAGATGTGTGCCACTGTGCCTGGCTTGTATTGTTTTTTAACGATTCTCTGGTTTAATCAAGTTGCTTGAGTAACTGGTTAAGTTCTGGTACTGGTTGATTGAGAATTTTTACTCTTTATGAATGTGAGGAGTTTGGGGAGCCAGTGAAGACCAGTAGTACTTAAAGATGATTCTTGCAGGAATCTTTAGGAAGAGTAAAATGGGGTTCTGAACAAGGGAATAATTAATGAAATATATCTCTATTAATGTGCATGTTACAAACTGTTTGGCTAAACTATGTTGTTATTTTGTGTTTATCTAGGAGCTTTTGAAGGAATACTCAGAGGGAAAGAAATTAATATTTAATGAATATTTTCTCTGTATCAAACATTTTGCTAGGTTTCTACATGCATTATCTCATATAATGCTCCCAGCAACCCTGCTTTTCAGAGGAGAAAGTAGATTTAAATAGCAGGTTAAATAACTTTCTCAAGGTAATTTAGCTAATGAGTGGGAAAAGAGAATGCCTTACTTTACTGGTGGAATCTGCATTAAAATTCCTGATGTTCTTTAACAAAGTTGGAAGACATTTAATTACTGAGTAATAAAATATCCTTTGAATTGAATAAGGCTAAATGAACTGTGATTCTCCTTTACTAGTAGAAAAAAATCATTACATTTTGGCAGAATGCATACTCTAGACTTTTTCTTTTTCTGAAATCTTGTTTTTTGTTTGTTTGATGTAGTTTGGGAACTATCAGATCTTTATCTAGAATGCACTGTTGTAAAAAAAGTTCAATATAGCAGAGCTATGGTGAGGAACAAAAGAGGGTGCTGAACTTAAAACATGATTTGCTTTTTTGGTGAATCAAACCCTTAAGTGTATTTATTTAGCATTTTAATGTTTTTATAATCCTAACAACATTTTACTTCAAAAGTTTTAGGTAAATTAAACAATAATTTATCCCAATAAAATATGTAAGATGTTCCTTAATTTATGATGGGATCTTATTTCAAAAAACCCATGGTAAATTGACAGTATTGTAAATTAAAAGTGTGCATTTAATACACTTAAACTACTAAATATCAGGGTTGGGGATGCAGCTCAGTAGTGGGTCACACATGCCAGACCCTGGTTTAATCCTCAGCACCACAAAACAAAACAATAAAAAAAACCCAATGACCAACCATTGTATCTTAGTCTAGCCTTCTAGCCTTCTGAACCCTTCTTTCAATTACATGTTCAGAACACTTATATTAGCCTATAGTTGGGCAAAATCATCTAACAAAAAGCCTATTTTATGGTAAAATGTTGGATATCTCATGTAATATATTGAATGCTGTACTGAAAGTGAAAAGCAGAGTCGCTGTATGGGTATGCTTTTGCACCATTGTGAAGTTGAAAAATTCTAAATTGAGATTAAAAATGATGGAATATTCTAAGTTTGGAGATTGGCTGTATTTCCTTCATGCCTTGAGTATTGAAATATAATGAAAATTAGATTAGTGAGTAAGCAAAAACCTCTCCCTAAGTTTCTTTTCCCCTGTTGAGTTTCATTTCTTTAACATTGTGATTTGAAAAGAAAAAAAATATGTAGTACGTGAATACCTCCCATTAAAAAGCATTTGAACACTCAGAAATATAATTTGGAAATTCTTATTCTTCAGGGAGAATTGCTGTTTTTTCTTTGGCTTGTGTTTGTATACCCTCCCTCTTCTTATTTATTTATTTATTTATTATTTATTTAGTGCCAGGAATTGAACCCAGGGGCACTCAGCCCCTGAGCCACATCTCCAATCCTTTTTTTTTTTTTAATTTTGAGATAGGGTCACGCTGATCTGCTTAGGGACTTACTAAGGTCCGAGGCTGACTTGAACTCAAGATCTTCCTGATTTAGCCTCCTAAGCCGGTAGGATTACAGGCTTGCACCACTGCACCCGGCCCTTCCTCTTCTTTAAAAAAAATTACTTTTATATGCATATCACCTTTTTAGAAAGAGATGTAATTAAACTTTACATATTTTTCTGCTTGTTTTATCCCTTTTTCTGTTATTTATATCTTACTATGACAGTATATATAATCAACTCCATTTTTTAATTGGGATGCATATGATTTATTTAATTACTTTCTTTTTGAATGACTATTTAAGTTTTTATATTTTGGGGGAGGGCAATTTCTGTGGAAGTACTTCTCTAAGTTAAATTCCTGGAATTGGATCTGGAATTATATAATTTGATTAGAATAATGTTATTGCCATTTGAGTTTTTAATTTCCAATATTTTGGATTTTAAAATGATACATTAAAAATAGGTAATACATATTTATGGTTCATAATTCAAAAGATACAAAATGGGTCAACTTTCATTTTTACTGCCTTTACTTTAACCAACCCATTAATCTCTTTCTTATGTCATCATTAAATTTTCTTGTAAGTCCTTCTAGAAATAATCTATATACTTTAATGTTTTTCATTTTTCTCTCCCCAAAGAATGCTATATGCACCATTCTGCAGTATAAAGTTTTTGTTTGTTTGTTTATTGAACTGAGGGCTTTTGGCATGCTAGAGAAGCAGCCTACCATTGAGCTAGCTACATCCCCAGCTCTATTTTATTTTGACCTCTGTTTCTTATCAGTATATAGGGAGCTGTTTTATTCTTCTATTTAGTACTTCATTTTGTGGCCAGGCTGTGGTTAACTCAGTCATTTCCAAATTAATGAATATTTAGATTGTTTCCAATATTTTGCTACTATAATGCTGATATGTATTATGCACCTCTTAAGCTCTCAAGAAATAGAATTGAGAGCTTAAAAGACATGGACATTTAAAATTTTGGTATATGTTAAACTGTTCTCTGTACAGACTTCTAAATTATACTTGCATCAGAAAATTATGAGAGTGCCTCATCAACATTGTTTTCAAACCATTTGATCTTTGCCAGCCTAAGTAAAAATGTTTTAATTTCCATATCTCTACAATGAGGTTGGTTATCTTATTTGTGGCAGGAGGTGGGAGTTGGGGGTGGTTCCTGGGAACTGAACCCAGGAGCACTTTACCACTGAGCTACATCCCTAGCCCTCAATTCTTTTTATTTTTTATTTTGGAGACAGGGCCTGGCTAGGTTGCCCAGACTGGTCTCAAATTTGTGATCCTCCTGCCCTAGCCTCAACATGCTGGGAATATAGGTTGAGCCACCACAACCTGCTCTTATTTGTCTTTGGCTTCATGATTCTTTTTTTTTTTTTTTTTTTTTTTTTTGTGGTGCTGGGGATTGAATCTAGGGCCTTGGGCATGCGAGGCAAGTACTCTACCAAATGAACTATATCCCTGGCCCTGGCTTCATGATATTCTTTACCATGCAAGAAACTGCTATTTTTATTTGCTCTTTTTAATTCTTTTATACCCCTAATCAAACTGCTTATGTGCCAAATGGTTTATATCATGATAAATCAAACTAAATGATAAAATAATAGAAATATTCAGAGAAGAAAAATAATTGGAGTTTTAGATATTTTGCTTTTGGAAATTTTTTGGACCAATTAATATCAGCAATTATAATTTTTACCTGATTGAACCAGCATTTACAAAGCATATACACTGTGCCAAACTGCTGTGACCAAAGTGAATAATCCTTAGTGTATTTTGAGATTAGGAAAAATAATTGATGATGATAACTGAAGGAATCAGGGAAAGAGTTTGAAGAGATCAAATGTAGAAAAGGGAGGCAAGTGAAGAAGTAATTGTCTAACTGTTTTGCTCTTCAGCATCTTGACCACTTCCAAATCTGGTCTGAGGTTTCACAATCACCATTCTTTTTTTTTTTTTTTAAGAGAGAGAGAGAATTTTAATATTTATTTTTCGTTTTCGGCAGACACAACATCTTTGTATGTGGTGCTGAGGATCGAACCCGGACCGCACGCATGCCAGGCGAGCGCGCTACCGCTTGAGCCACATCCCCAGCCCAATCACCATTCTTTGATGGAAACAAATCCCAGGGATTTTAACTTACTTTTATTCCTTCTTTGTTTCCTTATTTACTTATTTTTGGGTCTTTGGGATTCAGTGCTTGCCAAGATTGTCTATGAAATAAGATAAGTCTCCTTACTCAACCCCTTTCATTTTCCCTGAAGATAGGAACATAAAACATAATAGTTTATTGCCTATCATATTGTGTGAGTACAGATAAGGGGTTAAGAAAATAACAAATATGGGTAAGTTAGAAAATAGAAAGAAATATTACTAAATTTTTCTAATAACGGGCTGTGCTTCTGGATTCTCTTGCTGAGAAAAGAGGATAGTGAGCTGGTCTTTACCTCTTGATTTTTATTTTAGCATGTCATCTCTCCTTAAGATTTTTCTTCTGTTTGAGGGTGAGGACCTTATTTATGCAAGGAAACTGCTTTACTACTGAGCAGTCAGTCTAGGACTTTCCTCTTTTTTTTTTTTTTTTTTTTTTGTGGTGCTGGGAATTGAACACAGGGTCTTGTGCATGCATGCACAATCACAACTGAGCTAATTCTCCAGCCCAGGACTGTCCTCTTTCATCTCAGCATATTTAGTGACCGCACTAACCCCTTCCTCCATGCCAATAAAATGATCTATGATCTATGTTTTGTTTTTTCCTGTGCAGCTAGCTGGTCAAGCAGAGCAATGGAAATTAGGTGAATCTGCAAGCACCTTGTCAGAGCATACCTTTTTCCTCTTGGCTTAGGGGATAGTTGGCTTTTTTTTCCCTCTATGCTTAATTTTTCTCCCCTTGCTTGGCTGACATTAACATTTACTTTTTTCCACATTTCTGATGTCTATTCACATTTCTGAATGGTTTCTTATTTGTATTTAGGTAAAATTTGGTAATACCACCTTTAAAACAGATGTATACCTCAAGTCACTCAATCCACAGTGGAATTCAGAATGGTTTAAGTTTGAGGTAAGTTCTTAAATGCCCATGTTTTTTGAGTATATATTTTCTTAAGTGACTCTTTTCCTTTAGGAATGATAAAAGTATCTTTCATTTCAGGCATAGTAGATTTTCTACAGTATAAGAATATTTCTATTTCTGCCTCACTAGGAACACTGAGTTTTTAAAAAAGTTTTTAAAAGAACACTGAGTTTTTTTTTTTTTTTTTAAATTTTTTTTAATATTTATTTTTCAGTTCTCGGCAGACACAACATCTTTGTTTGTATGTGGTGCTGAGGATCGAACCCGGGCCGCACGCTTGCCAGGCGAGCGTGCTACCACTTGAGCCACATCCCCAGCCCCAGAACACTGAGTTTTTACCTTAAAAAAAATATAGTATATGGTAATGCAGATGGAAAAAAAAAGCCTTAAAGTGTATTATTTTATTATTATTATTATTTTTTTGGATTTTAGCATATATAAAGAAGTACTTAAGAACAACATACACAATATTTTTTTGTGCCATTTTAGCCATTTTAAAGTATACAATTCAGTAGCATTTATTACGTGCCCAGTATTGTACAACCACCATCACTATTTCCAAAATACTTTTATACCCTGAATAGGAATTCTGTGCCTACTAAGCAGTAACTCGCTAGTTCCTTTTCCTCAGACTTTAGTAACTTATCTATATTCTATCTTTTTGAATTAGCTTATGTTAGACTCTTCATTTAAGTGGAATCATAATATTTGTCCCTTTTTATTTGGTTCTTTCATTTCCTTATGTTTTCAAGGATCATTCACATTGTGGCAGGTAACAGAATATTATTTTTTTAAGCTAATATTTCACTGTATTTGTGAATTTTGTTTATTAATTTTTTTGCAGTGCTGGGGATTGAACCCAAGACCTTCTGTAAACCAAGTGCTACTGTGCACCCTGAGCTACATCCCCAGCCCTTTTAAAAATTTTTATTTTGAGACAGAATCTCATTAAGTTGTATAGGCTGGCCTTGAACTTGGGATCCTCTTGCCTTAGCCTCTCAGGTCACTGGAATTCCAGGTGTATGCCATGATACCACTGCCCCCTCCCCCAGTTTATTTTTTTAATGGAGTTATTTATATTTTTGTTGTTGATATGTAGAAGTTCACTATACTAAATATCAACTCCTTATCAGGTAAATAACTTGTGAATTTTTTTCTCCCATTTTAATAGGTTGTCTTTTTACTTTATTGACACTACCATTTGTATAAAAGTTTTTTATTTTGTTGAAATTTGAGGTATTTTTTGTTGTTGTTGCTTGTGCTTCCCTGATCCATTCCCTATGTTTTTTCCTGAGAGTTTTATGGTTTCAACTCTTATACATAGGTTGTTGATCCATTTTGAGTTCGTTTTTATAATAGCTTGAGGTAAGAGGCCAACTTTATTCTTTTATACAAAGAAGTCCAGTTGTTTCAACATCATTTGTTGAAGAAACTGTTCTTTTCCCGTCCTTCTCAGAAATCAATTTAAAGGGCGCGTGTGAGGTACAGACCACACTTATTGGTAGAGTGGCTGTGAGTTGGTGAGGGGTAACTTGGCTATCCCAACTGTATACCAAAAGGATGCAGTTGTAGAAACTATTATTCCTAATCTCCCAATGGCTTTTATCCAAAGGTTTCCAGCCAGATGGATCTTTCTAAGGAAGAAAATTTCTAGTTCCCATTAACTCCAACTCTTTTAAAAATAGAGTTCCATATTGTTTGGATAACATTGGTTTGGAAGTCAGTAAATTATTGTAAACTATTTTCAACTTTACCTTTGAGATAAGTTAAAACAAATTAGTTGTACATAGAAGTATGGGAGCTATTCCATTGATCTATATGTCTGTCCCTATGTCATTACCATATTGTTTTGATTACTGGAGCTTTGTAATTAAGTTTTTAAATCAGGAAGTGAGCCTCCAACTTTTCTTTTCATGTTTAGTTGATTTTTTTTTTTTTGTCATGAACTGTTTTGTCTCTGCATTTTTTTCTTGTGGATATGTACAGATTTTCTTTTTAGCTGTTTTCAAAATGCCATTTTATATTTTGAAAAATGCATTATTGCACACATTCAATCTGTACCATTTTCAACTACATTATTAAGATAAAATGTGGACTATGTAAGTCAAAGAAAGTGAGCAGAGAAACTTGCTTACATGATTTCAGATTTATAAAATTATGAAGTGCATCTTTCTTGTCCTAGAAAAACATTTGAATACTTACATAGGTTTATTTTGAGACTTCCTTCTTTGAGACTTCCTCCTTTCTTATAACCTAGAAACGGTTAAAAAATATTAATTAATTACATTGTTATTGGAAAGCTAGGAGGAGGAAGGCTTCATGTGTTAGTTTTTATGATGCTAAGAAATTATCATTTTAGAAAATACCATTTTATTTTGTTGATGATTCAATACTGTTAATTTTTAAGGCTAAGGAATACTTCAGCAGCTTATTTTAAACAATATAGGTTCTATGGTATTCCCTATAATCTCAGCTACTAATGAGCTGAGATGGGAGGATTGTGTGAATGAAGCTACTATCCTGGGTAACATAGCAAGACCCTGTCTTAAAAAAAAAAAGTGTGTTTGTGTTTATTTGTAGTTTTTCTGAAGTAAGAGATTTTTAAAATATTAATGGTTTCAGAAACTATAGTCACCAGCCATTTTCTTTACAATTTAAATTACTATTTTGACTAGTGCTTCTAGTTAATAGCATATATGATATCAAGAATATGCATAAACTTTGTGTTTATAGTTGATGTTATAAAGTTCTTTTTTTTAACTGTTGTTTATTTGTGTATGTTTTTAACACTCAAATATCTTAAAGTAGATGTTTTCTCTCATATAAAAGAAATGTTGAGACGGTCAGTATATAGCTTCATGTAGACATTTTAGATTCAAGACCCTTTCTGTCTTTTCTTCATCATCCATTCATGAGAATCATGTGACTTTAATTATTTTTTTGTATTTTTTATTGGTACATTATAATTGAACATAAAAGTGGGATTTGTTGTTACATATTTGTCTATGCACACAATATAACAGTATAATTTGGGCAGTTTCACTCCCTAGTACCTCTGCTTTCCCTCCCTCTTGTCCCCCTTTCCTCTACTGGTCTCCCTTATCTTTTTATGAGAGTTTGCTGTGCTTTTCCCCACATTTTTCCTCTTTAGCTTCCACATATGAGAGAAAACATATGACCATTGACTTTCTGAGTTTGGCTTATTTCACTTCACATAATACTCTCTCAAGTTCCATCCATTTTTCTGCAAATGACATGATTTCATTCTTCCTTTGGGTGAATAGAATGCCATTGTGTGTATGCGTACTTTGGCTTGTCTTCAAAGTGACTCAGAGTCACTTCAGGTTCCAAGTTAGCAGCTGGAGTTCCAGGCATCTTCCTAGTGTTCTAGGCTGGCAGAAGAAGGTAGAGAAATGGGGAGTACTGGAGGGACCAGTGAATTAACGTGCACTTTGAGCTGAGCAAACCCTTTGTTTGTTTGTTTTGTTTTGGTACTAGGGATTGAACCCAGGGCCTAGCACATGGTATGCAAGTGCTCTACCACTGAGCTATAACCCTAATCTCTAATTCCTAATCCTTGACATCATACTGTTTTTATGTGTGTACTAATCTCTTTTTATCTTTGTGCTTAGATATCTATTCTTTTACAGAAATAAGTCATTTTTAGCCAGGCAGAGTGGCGCACGTTTGTAATCTCAGCAACTCAAGAGGTTGAGGCAGGAGGATATCAAGTTCAAAGCCAGTCTTGTCTCAGAACATTTTGAAAAATGACTCGCCCAGGGTTAGAGAGCCCCCGAGTTCATTCCTCAGTGCTAAAAAAAATTTAAAAAAGTCATTGTTTTCATTTGGTATATGTATTCATTTGTGATAGTTAAGATTTTAAAATTAGATTTAATTTCAAGGTATACTTTTAGGTGGATGATGAAGATTTACAAGATGAACCTTTACAGATCACAGTTCTTGACCATGATACTTACAGTGCAAATGATGCCATTGGTAAAGTGTACATTGATATTGATCCTTTACTGTACAGTGAGGCTGCAACAGTCATCTCAGGATGGTTTCCAATTTATGACACTATACATGGTAAGGAGTAATAATTTAAGAAATATCATAAAATTAATGTTTTATATTTATTCTTAAAGACTTTACTGCTACATGGTTTTAAAATGTATATCTTACATGCCTTTTTAAAAATAGACAGGTAGAAAAGTAATAGTAAAATATTGTTCATAGAATTTTTACTCCTGATCGGAAATTAAAATTATGCCTGCAAAATTTGTGCAACATAGTAAGTAAATGCATTATTTAAAAATTATCTTGTACTGGGATGTAACTCAGTGGTAGAGTGTCTAGTATGCATGAGGGCCTGGGTTTGATTCCTAACACCTCAAAAAAGAAAATTAATTTTGCTGGTACTCTGTTTCTAAAACACATTTTCAAACTGATAATATTTGCTTATAAAATCTTAAAAAGTTTTTTTGTTGTTAAAGCAGGGTTTTCAAAGTATACTGTAAGAATAATTAAGGGTCTCCAAAAATGCTTTCATAGGGTCTGTGAGTTGAGAACTATTTTTCGCATAATATTCATACATATTTACTACATTTATTCTCACTTTATTCCAAGAATACAGTGGAATTTTCTGGAAGTTTTTCTGACATTTGATGTTACCACCAACTGAATGCAGAGCAGAAATGAGAATCTGTGTTATCATTAAGTAAATTATAGGTATTTGAAAAATGTAACAATACTTCTCTTAATACTAAATTTTTTTAGTATTAAGTGATCCCCAGCGTTGCAAAATAAATGAATGAATGAGTAAATAAGTAAGGGCAAATATAGAACCTGAATTATACAGTCAGAAAAAAAAGAACACGTTTTCAGAATACAGTGCAACAAATGTGCATGATATATTATGGATTACAAAATGCATGTTATAAAGCATTCATTATATGATGATCTCAAAGTTGTTTAGAACCCAAAGAATTATATTTATATGATATCATTGGAGAAATTTGCAGAATACATTATCAAATGTTTATCCTAGATAATTACTTTTCTGGATTATTTTTCTTGTTTGCCTCCCCTCCGCTTTTTTTTTTTAACTTTTCCCCTATTTTCTATAACATACATATATAATACACGTACACACACAGACACACACACATATTTCCTTTATAAACAGAAATCTAGTCATCTTTTATGTTACCAATTAAGAAAATATACTGATATACTGCCAGTTGTGGCCTTATGAGCCTTTAGTTTCAGCTTCTCAGGAGTTTGAGGCAGAAGTTCATACTCCTTGAACCTAGGAGTATGAGACCAGCCTAGGCAAAACAGGAATACCCTGTGGTCAAAATTAAATGAGTAAATTAAAAAAAAAAAAAGAGGCTGAAATACTAATCTGGACTTGGATTAAAGGTAGTAAATAGCTATATAAATGAATAAATTTCCCCACCATTTACTATTAAATATTGTTTATAGGGAGTTAAATATGTTCATGGGCTCTTTGTTAGAAATACAATCTTATGATTTCAATAGATAAATTAATAAATGACTTTTCTTAGAAGGCCCTCTGCCATAAGTGAATTTGAAGTCAAACAGTCAAGTGAAAATATTTAGTAAATATTTAGAGCTAAGAGCTGGATCATTCTTTTTTATTAGACTATGTTTTGAAAACCCTTATTTTTGGAATTTTAAAATTGGTGTATTTTAATTATTTACAATAGTGGGATTCATTATGCCATATTGTACATGCACATAGAATAATTTGATCAATATCATATTTTCAAAATTTTTTAGTTAGCTTATTTGAAATTTTATTCATTGAAGTGAATACAACTTCTGTTGAATTATAATCTTGCATTAAGTGTTAAGAGTATATACTCTGAAATCATAAAGATCTTACTTAAATCCTGGAATCTTTCACTAACTAGCTAATGACACTGAATACATTATTTAATTTTTATTATTTACATGTTTCTTTCTCTGTAAAATGGGTATGGTACTATGACAGAAATTACCTTTTTGGGTTGATGTGAATACAGTGAGATACTATATGAAAAACATTTAATATGCCATCTGTCAGTACTCAGCAAATGTTATCACCACCATCGTTATCATCATCGTTGTCATTGTCATCAATTTAAATGGGATTCTGCTCCATTCAGTCTTAGTTCAAATAAATGCAGACTTTTGGTAATAGTGAAAATTATTCATTCTTGTGCATAGGTGTTCTGCTTCAGAAAATACAAGAAAACCACTGATAATGAAAGTAATTAAGATACAAAGTTAACATTATTATTATAATTTATACATTATTTTGAAACCATTAATTGCATCTATTTGCTTCATTATTTATTGTACACTATTTTCTTAAGGTATATTGATTTTCCTTTTGAATATGTAGGTATCCGTGGAGAAATCAATGTAGTTGTCAAAGTAGACCTCTTCAATGATTTAAATCGATTTAGACAGTCATCGTGTGGAGTCAAATTCTTTTGCAGTAAGTAAATATATTGTCTTATTTAACAGGAAATTTAATGATTTTTAAATGTAGAAAAATTCAATTAATATTTTAGAAGGCTAATAAAAATGGTATACTTTGATTTTAATACTAAAGAAAAAATTGTTAATTTTCCAGAAACAATTACTGTAGCTCTCTGGCTATTTATTTGATTTAAGAGTAAATGTTATCTAATTTTTACAAGTTTATTGAAATTTATTTTTGAAAAATCCAGTAATGTTTTATTGTAGTATAGGTCACTGAAGGATAGGAGCAGAACATTTTAGCCAAGCACTGTGGTACAAACCCATATCACATAGGCTTTTGCGAGTATGAAGCCCCAAGAACTCCTTGAAATATATGAGTCTGGCCTGTGCAAATTTGGGCATCTTCTAGCCAATCCTTATTAGTAGGGTTGAGAACCACTAGGTAGTTGATTATCTTTGATACATGAATGCTGTTTTAATATACTAGTTTGGTGTAGATGTTCTAAGATTCTACCCCTTAAGATCTTACATAAATTCAATGACATTTTATTTAAATATATATATATATCTTTTTTTTTTTCAACACAATGCCTTTATTTATTTATTTTTTATGTGGTGCTGAGAATGGAACCTGGGTCCCGCCCGTGCTACGCGAGCACTCTACCACTGAGCCGCAATCCCAGCCCTGACATTTTACTTAAATGAGTCTTAAGTGAGCACATATTAAACAAGTCTATTATATAGAGCAATGACTGTTGGACCAGTTGACTATATGACCATGGATTATTAGAAACTACAGGGCTATTTGACTCCTTTGGTTATATCAGAAATGTAGTGGTCTAATTCTTAAAACTGCAGTATGTGGTATACAGAAGAACTTCTGCCAGGGACCCTGAATAATTTGTCTTAATAATAAACTAGTTAACTTTAATTTTGATTTTTTTTTGCCATGTCACTGTACTTTTAATTCAATATTAGATTCATCACATTTTGTGATTCCCTTCCTGTGTATGTTTTTGATTTTTATTTTTTAAATAATTTTAATTTTTTAAAAATTTTAAAATTCTAAATTTGTTATATACAACAGCGGAATTCATTACATTTCATATTACACATAGAGCACAATTTTCATATCTCTGGTTGTATACAAAGTACCTTCACATCCTTCATGTCTTTTACCTTGTGATAAACAGAAGCTCTAATAGATAGTTTGTTTTAACATGTACTTTGGATAATGATGTTCATCTCATTCCACCATCATTTCTATGCCCATGCCCCTTCCCTTCCCCTCCCACCCCTTTACCCTATTTAGAGTTTGTCTATTCCTCCCATGTTCCCCCTCCTTACTCCACTATGAATCAGCCTCTTTATATCAGAGAAAACATTCGGCATTTGGTTTTTTGGGATTGGCTAACTTCACTTAGCATTATCTTCTCTGACTCCATCCATTTATTTAATTTTGATTTTAAAACTTAAATTTATTTTAACTGATATATAAAATGTATAAATTGTACAGGTTTTTGGAATACCATGATATTTTGATTTTTAAAACTTTATATGATATGGAGTGTTACTTAAGGTCTCTAGCTGTTTTCTTTTGTTTTTCTTCTTCTTTTATTTTTCAGTAGTACTGGGGAATCAAACCCAGAGCTTCATAGTTAGGCACTCTACCACTGAGCTACATCCTTAGTCCTCCTTTTTTTTGAAGTTTGAGACGGGGTCCGCACTAAGTTGCCCAAAGTTGCCTTGAACTTGGCAATCTTCTTACCTCAGCTCCACAAGTAGCTGGGACAACAGGCATGCACTACCAGGCCTCGCTCTGTAGGTATTTTCTTAATTGTAAAAGTACAATTCATATTTATCAGGCTTACATGAAAAAGTGAGGTGTGTCATGAGAGAAAAGTTATTTGTAAGATTAAAATGTGTCTTAGAAGACTTTTTAATTGGGAATATTATAATTACACTAGTAATTACATAATTACATTGAGATCATCATAATATAAAAGATGTTTTTGTATATCCAAAAGGTAAGAACTTTGACATGCATTTTTTAAAATTCATTTTTACCTTGTGATAAACAGAAGCTCTAATAGATAGTTTGTTTTAACAGCAACGTCTATTCCAAAGTGCTATAGAGCTGTGATAATTCATGGATTTGTAGAAGAACTTGTAGTCAACGAAGACCCAGAATATCAATGGATCGATCGAATTCGTACACCAAGGGCATCAAATGAGGCTAGACAGAGACTCATTTCTTTAATGTCAGGTATAAATAAAATAATTTCATTTTGATTAATACTGAGTTTTTGCTTTCCTTTTGTAATGAAGGCTAAGATTTTAGGTGACTGATTCCCTACTCTTGGCCCCATCCCGCTGAACATTTTTAACAAGTGGAAATCTGAATCAGAAGCTTGTAGTAAACTAGGTAATGAAAGGAAATTGTGTTATTGAAGTGGGGTAGTGGGTGGAAAGAGCCCTGAGTTAGGAGGTTCAGAAAGGAGTCCTGAGCAGGAAACTGGATTTTAGTTTTCTTTCCTCTAGCATTGGTTTATAGTCAGAACTTAAGTAAATCTTTTATCCCTGTCTCTGAAACTCTCTGTTCAAATGATACTCTCTGTTCAAGACTTTTCGTAGTCTTTTCCTGAGAATTTGTTGTTTAGCTTCCTCTATCGCTCCTGGCACTTCCTTTGCCACTCTTATCTCATTACCTTTCTTTATTCTTCTTTGGAGAACTCATTTACTACTTGAAATTTGTATTTATTTTTGTGTGTGCGTGTGTGTGTATACAATATATATTCACAAAAGACACAAACAAGAATATATGTTATATTTAATAAATGTATTATATTTGTATTCTGTATATTTGTGCTGTGACATAATCATACTGTATTATAATAAAATTATGTTCTATGTATTATGTTTATACTTATATATTCTCTATAATATCTATTTTTGTTTACTTATTTAATTATCTTTTTATCCCACCAATGTTAAACTTCACTAGATTTGGAACTTTACCTTTACTGTTCACCCAAGCATCTCTAGCACTTTGAGGAAGGGAAGAATGCCAAGCACATAGCACAGAACCAAAAAAAGGTTTGGTAAATGAGGTGCATGAATGAGTCTCATTTCCCTGAAAGTAGGAAGTTAGACCAGATAATCTTTTTAAGTTCCCATCAAGTTCTAAAATTCTATAATGTTTTTAAACTTGTTTTTTTGTCACTACCTTATCTAGCTTTATAGTATGTATTGTTGGGAAATGAAACAAAGCATGAGTTTTTTTCTTTCTTTTGTGGTAGGTGAACTACAAAGGAAGATTGGCTTAAAAGTACTCGAAATGAGAGGAAATGCAGTTGTTGGCTACTTACAGTGTTTTGATCTGGAGGGCGAGTCTGGGTTAGTGGTACGAGCCATAGGAACAGCGTGTACTCTGGATAAATTAAGTAGCCCAGCAGCATTCCTTCCTGCATGCAATTCTCCATCTAAAGAAATGAAGGAGTAAGTATGAATTAATGAAATTGTTCTTATGGAGATTTTTATCTCTTACCTATACATTTTCATTTGCTTTACAACATTTTAGTAGCATTGTTTGATGTGTATTTCATTTTCTTCTGTGATTTTTCTTATCAGAGATGACTGTCAAACTTTAACTTAAAAATATTTACATAATCCTAGTATTTTATTTATAATATAAAACGTGAAGTAGTATAAACTTAAACTATTCTACATATTTATTTTATTTTATTTTTTTTAGAGAGAGAGAGAGAGAATTTTTTAATATTTATTTTTTAGTTTTCTGCGGACACAACATCTTTGTTTGTATGTGGTGCTGAGGATCGAACCTGGGCCGCACGCATGCCAGGCGAGAGCACTACCGCTTGAGCCACATCCACAGCCCCTATTCTACATCTTTAGACATTATGTATCTAAAACATAAAATGAATATTCATGCAATGTGTGGAATTTTATTTATTTTTTAGGGAATTATAATTAATTCAATTATAATTATAATTATAATTGAATTATAATCCAATTATGTTTGTTATTGGCAACATAGTATAGAGAGGAACAAGGATTGGCTTGTGCAGGAGTCTCAAACTCAGATGTCTACAGAGGCCAGGCAGTTTATTAAAATAAAATAATTGAATAGGAATACTGGGGTCTGTGTAAGGCTGAAGTTGGCAAATCCTCCCTCTTTCTTTTATTTCTGCTTCTTTGCTTCCTCCCTTCCCTCCACCCCTTGTCTTCCTCTACATTTCCTTGTCCTCCCCCGACTTTTGTTTTTGTGATGAGGGGGTCTCACTATGTTGCCGAGGCTGACCTTGAACTCCTGTTCTCAAAGCTATCCTCTTGCCTTAGCCTCCGGAGGAGCTGGGATTACAGGTGCATTCCACTGTGCTTGGCTTGGCAAACTTTTCTTTCAAAGGAGAGATGCTAAATAGTTCAGGCATTGACAATAGGGTCTCTATCTTTATTTATCAGAAACAAAACAGAAAAACCCATGAGTTTGCCCATCCCCTATCTAAGAGGTTAGAATCATAAATTTTTATTTCTAGAAACTATGTGTGGTGGTTCCTTTGGTTGGATTTGGTCTATGTGTTCTTATTTGTGTCAAAGGCAGAGATTCCAGTTTGGTGATGTTATATGTTGAACATCGGTAATTAAAAAATTGGAAATCCAAAATGCTCCAAAATTCGAATGTTTTTTAGTGTTGGCACTCAAATGTTTCAGATTTTGGAACATTTTGGATTTTGGATTTTCAGAATAGGATGCTCATTGAGTAAAGTCTGTAAATATTCAAAATCTGAAAAAAAATCTGAAATCTGAACTCTTATTCTCAAGCATTTTGAATAAGTGATTTGAAAAAGGACTTTCCTGTCATAGTGATTAGGTTAGTAGGTTCTTTTGTGGGCCAGAGATACTGACACAGCAAGGAACAACTTGTAACTACAAAAACTTGTTCCATCCTAAATGCCAATAGTATTTTCATTGAGGAGCACTGATTTAGAGATATGTCTAGATTGAGGATTGGTAAACTTTTTAAATAAATGCCCCCATAGGACAGGTAAATAATTTTAGTTTTTGCTAATGCAACTATATGACTCCACTGTTATAGCACCATAGCAGTCATAGACAATATGCAAACTAATTGGTATGGCTGAGTTCCAGTAAAACTTTATTTACAAAACAGATGGCAGGTGGATTTGGCTTGCAGGCTGGAGTTTACTGACTCCTGTTCTTGATTGTCTGGGAGTCAGCATTCTGTAGTCAGAAAACTTAAACCATTTCCCAGTTCAGCCATATTTAAGGGAGATTGAATGGAAAACAATCACAGTCTTGAAAAAAAGTGTTCTAAAATCTGACCCTTTTTAAAATGACATTTTATCTTAAGCATATTCTTTTTGGTTAGCCATTTCCTTTTTTCTGGCCTTTAGTCATTTGGATTAAATTTTATTCATAAGAGGAAGCATGGAATTGCATAATTTTATTTGAAAACACATTGACAAATGAAGTAATTAAAAAAAATAAACTCAAGAGTGAAGTTGCTAAAATAGGTCTGGAAGAACATGAACTGTCAGCTGCTAGAGGTAGAATCAGATTGCAGGTTTAACTTTTTGAGGGATTTAGAATTTTCCCCCTTCTTTTCATAGCAAGTTTAAGTGAAGACCTCCTTCTCTCCACTTGACACTCTCTAGTTTTACCTACACTGATTGAAGGGACTTGGCTTTTACAGTTGTGATATCTGAAGGTCTTTTTCCACTCTGATATTTAGTGGAAAGAAAAAGCTGTATTATCTGTTGGTGTCTTAGGATGAGATATGAATAGCAGGGGAATATGTTTCACATGCTTTCAGGAAGAGATCCATTGATGTAAACCTTCTGGGATTGTATAGATATTCTCCTCTTCTAATTTGTCATAGCCATTTTCTTTAAATTATCAAACATTTACACAATGAAGAATTTAAGTTGTTTTATTAGGATTTTCTGAACAGCATCTTACTACCTAGTTCATGTTATTTAGAAAAACCCTCTGTATTCAGGCAACTTTATTTGAGCCAGCTTCATTGTATTCTTGATAGTTTGAGTGCTATTTCCAAACTTATTTTATGTTTTGGCTGATTATAATTATTCTAGTATTTAATTATCATATAACATTGCTGAGTCTAGATAGGAATTTGATAAAAGGTAGTGTAGATTGGATTTAATGGATTAAATGAATTACCTAAGTGAATTAGATATTACAATGTATAGAATGGACTTAATATTAGAAATACCATAGGTTGTTATTGTGAGGCAGCCTTTCATGCAAAGACTGATAGAGTCAGAACTCCAAGAATACATTATGGTATGCTTCAGTGTATTTGAATTATAATTTGATGTCATAATTTGAACATTTTAATGGTATGTTCTACTTCATGAGTTTTTTTCCTTTTAAATGTTTAACATAATGCAAAATATAATACCCTTTTTCTTGCTGAACTCTTGGTGGTAAAAAGTGTTAAGTCTAATGTATCACTTTTCTAAAAATGCTTTCTAAGAGACTTCAGCCATAATTTTTCCTATGTACAGCTCTGATTCTTAGACTAGACTTTTTCAGTGTAAGAATTCTCAGATTGTTTTCATGCTTTAGCAACAAAATACAAAACAAACAAACAAAATCTCACTTAGTTGTTTCTATAAAAATTGATTGCCAATAAGGTGTTTGATTTTCATCAGTTATACAAAACACATTTTAAAATTTATGTTAGCAACAAAAGCAGAAACACTTTTCCCATTGTAAATCAATAATATTTTCAAAAGGTAGCCTGTGGAAGCTGGTAAAAACCTTTGTGGCCAATAAGTGACAGCTCATGTTTGATCCTTGACAGGTTATGATTGGTGGGATTTTTCCCTGAGCAGTTAGTACACTCATTAAGGAAAGGACAGGAAAAGTAGAACTCTTGCCTGTTTTTAATTTGACTTCTAAAAAATGGGAGATATGATAGTTTATTTATATAGGGTTCTTCCCCCCGTTGTACAAAAACAAAGATATTGTACAGTGAAATAATTGTTAACATGAAGTTCACGATTCTTTTTTATGTAATATACCTATTTATTACATTCAGTATAACTTTTTTAGCCAAATTCCTCTTGAAATTTAAATTTTTTAATATGAATTTACATTTATATATTTAATCTAAGTTTATTTCTATATACACAAAGATGTGTTCTATTAGAGGATATAAGTTAGTATCTTACAAAATTTCAATTCAGAATGTAGTTTATGTAGTATATTCAGTATGAGAACTAGACAACATTATTTACATTGCTTTATTAGTATGCTTGTAAAAGCAGTGTCCCTTTGTTTTGTTTTGTTTTCAGTGTAGCCTGGTTATAAGCTATATATTTGATACGTTGAAATACTAGAATGTGTGTATCTATTTATATACTAGAATGTGTATATCTATTTATATTCATTCAGTTCACTCATTTCTCTTTATGTGTCAGTTTTCACATTCTTAAATATTCTTGTTGTGAGATTCTAGACAGAAACAGTTGTTAGTTAAGCTTTCTTCATAGAAAAATATAAATATATTTGCGGTTTATATCTCAGTTTCAAAGGTAATATGAGAACTTTATATTTGACTTCTCACTTTTATAGGTGTTTCTTCCCATAAATATTGCATAGTAAGTTCCATTTTGATGAAATTAATATATTAAAGCAAGTTGAAATCCAAATCTTAGTATTTTTTCTTATTTACAATCATAATTTATTAATCTGAACCTTTCAAACTACAACCATATCCTAACAAATTAATATTTAGATGTTCTTTTTGAATTTCATCTTATTTTTTTGCATGCGAGGGATTTAAAAATAATTTCTCTCCTTGAACTAAAGCTCCTTCAAAATTATTTAACATAACTTTGCAATCTGTTGTATGTATTGTTTTCTTTTCTTCCACTTTGACCACAAATTCCCTCAGGTCTCCGCTGGTCCATCCTCCAAGCCTTGGATGCCGCTCGACTCACAACAGCCCAATTCACACTGCTACTGGCTCACGACTTACTCAGAACTTCTCTGTGTCTGTTCCCACTCTCATCTATACTGGTACGAGACTGCTCAGACTCCAGAGCTGGGGAGAGGCAGGCCACGGGCAGAGTGGCTGCAGAGGCAGGCAGGCAGGTAGCGTAGGCAGGTACCACAAATCTTTGCTTCTTCATTTTCTTACTGGAAGTCCAGCTGCAGTGAAGAACTTCTGTATTTAGTTGCCGCAGAGGCTCACACATTATGGAAGTGAAAGTGTTCTTCCAGCTTCCAAAGTCTCTTCCACAGATCCTCTCAGAACCTTATCTTATATAAGTGTACTGTGAGTTTTGAGGAGAATCTCTCAAAATGTGTTTTGTGATTATTTCTATAATTTTTTAGAAATGAAATTGTTAATAAGATTCTAAATGAAATAGATACCAAACCTTCTAGTTTGCTTGTTTTCTTTATGTACTAAACCTGTTAACGGTAGGGTCTGTTTCATTCTGTGGAAGAGAGCTATTGGAAAACAGGTAAGCAACTATTCTGCATTAAATGTGATGTTTCTATGTAGCTATATTCATTTTCCTCTTTGATGTGTTTTTAGCTGTGGCACTCTTGATGCTATAGGATAAGGAAACATTTTTTTCTTTTGAAGATACCTGTGTGTGTGCAAATATGAAAACAATTATGAATATTTCCACACACCATTTGTAGCCATCATTTTTTCTTTTGTAACTTAAAAAATCATTTTAAAATATTTTGTCATTTTTTTAATTTCTCCTTTTAATATGTTTTAGCCCCTAAGTCTGTCATTTCATGCTTTTTTTGCTTTATCACTTGGCTTATTAACTGTTTCAATGCAGATAATATTTATCTGGAGAATGATGAATGGTTAAACAGCAATTGGTTGTCTTTGACCTCATTCCCAGCTCCACATTTAAGAAATGACTGCTGGCCCTGCCCCAATACTTTCCTGGTGTTTGGATCATGCTGCCAACCGTCAAGCCCTTTGGCACATGATTACTTATTTTTTTCCACCTTCTTCTGGCAGGATTCCCTTCAATGAAGATCCCAATCCCAATACTCACTCATCAGGACCCTCAACCCCTCTGAAAAACCAAACTTATTCCTTTTCACCTTCCAAGTCCTACAGTCGACAGTCCTCTTCTTCTGACACAGATTTGAGTTTGACACCCAAAACTGGTAAGGCGCTTCCACCCACCTTTTATTTTTTCTTTTTTTAAAAAAATTTGTTTCTGTTTCTTACTAGCTTTCCATCCAAATCTTTCCTCCTGTTTTTGGCATTTAAGTTAAAAAATAATGTGACTTGATTATTTTCAGTTATTACAATTAAAATATTAAGGTTTTTTTTTTAGTTCAGAAATTATCTTGTTTAAAGATCAACATTTTGTTAATTTAATCAGAGTGTAGCCATAAAGTCCAAAATTCATTTTTGTGTGTAGACTTTTTCATTTCATACTCAGGAGGAATAACATCTTAAAGCATTTGAATAGAAAGTAACACTAGTGGCTTACAATCAAACTCCTTGAAGTATTAGCATTTTTAAATTCATTGTTTGTGCCTCTCTGAATTTAATTCTGAGATTTGATTATAAAAATAATTTTCAGAACTGAAATGATTACCTTGGAGTACATAGCTATTCATCTATTTATTAATTTGTTATTTAAAATGTCTGGGTTTGCTAGTTTTATTCTCTAGCTTAGAAAATGCTATTTTTAGTTATACTTGAATATTTCTCAATTTATTAAACTTATAATTTTTTCCCTCTCCTATTTGTATTTTTATGAGTAATCTTTGTGGGTTTTTATGCATATGTTTATGATAAAAAGTTCATACAGATTAAGTTAGTATCTTACTCCCTAAAATAGAATTAACTTATATAAAGCATTAAATTATTGTTATTTCTAAGGAAAATTAAAAATAAGTTAAAACATTTAACAGTTTATAATTTTTGTAAATAGTATTTTTGTCTGGCAGTTTTCCCATCAGATTGATTAAAGTATAGTTCTTATTTGTATTACTTTTAAACTTACCATCTTTAATAGACTTACTTTTGTGTTAGAAAAGAAATTTATAAAATGATCCCAGATTTTGTGAAAACAATGAAAAGAAAGCTAATTCCAAACCAGTGCTACTTATAGAGAAAGGACTTTTTTTTTTTTTTAAAGCTCATAGCTTTAATTTCTATTTTTTATAAATGTCATTAAAACATAAAGATAATTATAGACTTACTTCTTTTGATAATAACTTTATTTTTACATATACATTAAGCTCTTCATTTTCCTGAGTTCCACTTCTGAATTCAACCAACCATAGATTAAAAATATTTGAAAAATAATTGGATCTATGCTAAACATGTACAGATTTAAAAATTGTCATTTTTCTCTAAGCAATATTGCTAACAGCTATTTACGTTACATTGCATTAGGTATTATAAAGATGATTTAAAGATGATTTAAAATGCATAGTATGTACACAGGCTGTATTCAAATATGATTGCATTTTATGTAAGGAACTGGAGCATTTGTGGATTTTGGTATTGGGTGTGGTGGTGGTGCTTATCCTGGATCGGTCTGTTGCAGAGCTAAGAGATGACTGACTTTATGAACAAACATCTAAAAATAAGATAGTATTTGACTATAATGGATGCTTTGGAATGTGACATTTTAACCATATTTATGCTATAAAAATTGAATCACTCAAAGTACAGTAAAAAATGTTTTTTAAATAAAGAATAGGAGAGTCTGGCCTTCATATTCATGACAATCAGAATTAGACAGACTTAGGATAGTATTTAAAGGATACTTTTTGAAGCTTTTTTTCACTAACTTTGTATTCCAGGCCACTTTTCAATACTCTTATCTATTATTTTCCTTTGCCATATCACATAGAGTTTTGAGAGTATTTCCTTGGCTTTTTGTTTCTAAAGTCTATGCCTACTAAAGCAGATTGTTAAGATATAAATCAGTTGAACCATGCTTCTCTTAACTGATAGGCAATTAACAGTATTAGCAATGACAACCTTTTTGTATTATTAGTACTTAAAAATTTATTTACAAATGAAGTATTAATTTTCGTGTGTAAGCTTGCTCTAAATACAGTTTGTTTGCCCATAAATATTTACTACCTCAATAGCTTATTTATAAAATATTAGCGGTTTTTAGTTTCTTGGCCTTAGCATGAGCCCTTAGATATCTGAATAGTTCTGAGGAGCATTCTGTTTTTCATAGAGAAGTAATTTGGTAAAATTAAAATTGTTTTAAAATTCCTAGAACTATAATTCAGCATGTTTGTCATGCTTTTCTGCCTTCTAATTTATCCATATGTAGAATAAGTATCTTGAGAAATACTGGAATGAGATAATCTGATTATAATTGATTTATCATTACTAACTGGGAAGACAAAAGTAGAACAAAAGTAATAAAGCTTAGATAGAAAAAGTTGTTTTTTGTTGTTTATAATTAATGTTCTTGCTTGTTTTTTCTGGTAGGTCTCCTCTTTTTTTAAAAAAAAAATTAACTATTTCTGTAAATTTTAACTTATGACATTTTATGAGGCTTTATTTTTTTCCCCAAGTAGTCAACTAATAAGAGTGGGATTTTCAAATGCTAGTGTTAGAATACTAATTCGACACCTGACTTGAACTAAATTTTTCTTTTTTAATCAGGTAGCTAGCTATGTATAGTTTCTGTGATCCAGAGGTTATTGGACCCTGATGAGGCTCAAATATCCGTACTTCACACAGTACTGTGATCAGATTAAAGTGTGAACAATTTTAGAGAAAAAAGAAAAGTATTAATATATCTCAAAGCTGTACAGAAGAAAGTTGGTATTTATTTTAGATTAATAATGACAATTGCCTACACCTAATATGGTGCCATTTGATTTTATTTTTTAAAGTAGATATTCAATTCAAATACCCACAGTGCTATCTTTTATATTAGCTAGTAAAATTTAAAAATACTGTACTTTACCACTTTAAATAAGTGTTTATAGTTGAGGCAACAAGTTTCAGGCTTTAACACTTTGAAATGTGGTACACTTTAACCCTTTGAATTCATAAACAAGAAAAGGGTAGGTAATTTAAGTATTTTGAAGAAGTCAGTTAAAAGTAAGACAAAAATGATTAAAATGGCATTAAATCCTCAGTCATTAAAATTTTTTTAAAAGAATGTAGAGTTTGAAAGGTTTTCATTTAAGTTTTAGAATATACCTTTTATTTGTATTATATTGGATAGACAGTTTTGCTAGTGACTTTTCATATGCTTAGTATAACTTGTCTATACATTTTAAAATTCATTTTTACTGTTATGTTTGCTGCTTCATCATTGCTTTCCTTATCCTGTGTTTCCTGATCATCTTCTGAATCTGCATCTTTTCTCTGCTACTTTCCTCCACAGCACCTTACCCACAGGGACCTAGGATTTACCTGTGTCCCAGCTCCCCCTCTCTCTCTTGTGGTTCCCTTCATCTTAAAAAGTCCTGTCTCCTCCTCTCGGAATCTAGCCTTACCCCTCATCATTCTAGCCTTGTCAGCCCAGTTCTGAGGAAAAGTGTTTCTTTCAGTGAAGAGCTGTTCCTGGCTGCTTCTGGTAGGATCACATTATGTCAGCTTTTTAATCCCTTTAAACTTTGAAAAAGTTTAATTATTTCATACTATAAAGAATTATTGCATATTTTTACAGGATGTATTTCTATTATTTTTTTTACTGATAAAGAGTTGAACAATTAGATTTATCATAGGATATAATTGAGCATTACTTGATGGATAATTACGAATATTTGGTAAATTATTTTATACATTAAAAAAAGTTTATGTCTAATGACATAGATCTGGCTGTTCACAATAATTATTTAAGTTCTTAGTACTAGCATTTCTGTTTTAGATGCTTTACTTTCTTCCCTACATACCAATTCTGTTCACGTTGGACCTGTATCATCTCATTGCTAAACCATATGGTTACATTAGTAAATTATTCTGTTTGAATCAGTTTAAGTCTCATTTTGGTGATATTCTTTAATTATCCATTTTTTTTCTGATCATTGCATTAATCAAATTATTCTATATTTTTTGATTTTTTCCTTGTCACTACAAATTTACATTTTATTTTATGGCTTTTAATATGCTTCATATAAAGATCTTAGTTTAATTTCTGTTTAGCGTTGTATAGTCTCTTAAAAATGTTTAGGTTAATCTAAGAAAATTGAATTTACTTTTTACCTTTAAAGAACAGAATGGGACTATACACATGCTAATCTTTGTTTCCTTATCCAAGAACAGCTAAAAATGTAAAATTAAATTAGCTCCTTTTTAAGTTTTTGTAGTAAATTTGAAGGTATGCATTTTCAGTTTGAAATGGGTGGGATGAATTCCAATCTGTAGAATCCTGGGTTCTCACCCATCTCCTGCTTTCATGGATCATAGTTTATCCAGTGGTTCTTTCAAGACAATAAAATAAGATAGGAAAAGAAATTTAAAATTAAGTTTTAAAAAATACAGATACGAGCTTGGGAAATATAATTCTTACATCCATAATTATGTACATTTGTAATGTGTCTATTACATTTCTGTGACTTTTGAGTTTTGTTTTTTTTTTTTTCCAAAAAATTTCTTTTTATTTTTTGGAATGAATGTTGACATATATCAAAATAATACCATTTTATATGATGTTATGTTTAGAAATGGGAAGTTATCAGAAAATAAATATACTAAATTTAAAAATTACCTAGATTTCATGTTCTTTAGAGAATTTTGGGATATTTTTAGTGATCTCAGCATTTTTCTTTTCTGTATTTATTCTTAGTCAAACACTTACTATTTCTCTTTGTTTTAGTGTTCTTAAATTGTTAGCATAATAATAATTATCATTTTGATGATTTTTATTTTATTTATACAAATATTTATCATCTTTAACATAATTTCTTTTCATAATTCTTAAAACACATTGAGTCTAAAGCTAACCATGATCAGAACTTTGACATCTTGCTTCCAAAGAAAATTTTGCCAGTCTATTAGAGTAAAACATATGCTTTAGTTGCCATCTTGAATACTTTAAATGTGTGGATCATTTTATATTTTGACTCATGAGATTTATGAAGTTGAATGCAATTATACTTTCTGTTTCTATAGTTGGATTTTTTGGTTGTTATTTATGTGCTAATGTTCTGTAGGAATGGGCAGTGGTAGTGCTGGAAAAGAAGGGGGGCCATTTAAAGCTCTTTTAAGACAACAGACACAGTCAGCATTGGAGCAGAGGGTAAGATTTACCAGATATTCTTATTCTTACACTGTTAATATGAACTTATGATCTTATGCTTCTGTGTACATATTTACTTTCCAAAACCAAACTGTTTTTGGTCATATCTGAAAATATTATAGTTTTGAAATCCAACTTGTGTATGAATATTTACTTTTGACTTGGAGTAATTCTGTAACTATTTTATGTTTTCCTCTAATTATTTATTAGAAATATTTTAAAGAAATATCCATTGAATACTGAAGTCATTTTTAATTTTGTCATTAAAATTATAAAGAAATAACATTTTTGAAGAAACAATATATCAGTAGCATTTATTAAAAACAATTCTTTAGTAATATTTTTACTTAACAAAATTATTTTTTATCAGTGGTCAACCTCTGAGAGATAAGAAATGTATATTTTCTACATAATTTTACAGATTAATATAGTGTTTCATTAATATAATACATCTATTTTGATTGTTATGTTTAATGTTTACTTGCATTGGTTGAGTGGGAAAATGAGTAGTTATAGTTTTTGGATGATTTTTCTCTCTCTCTTTTTTATAAACTTCATTGCTAAGGGAGGATCGCCTCATAGGTTCTGTAGAAGGCGGGTATGTTTCCAAACATGTGTGAGAGCCTATTTCTTATATTAGAAGCTTTTCCAGTTTTAATCTCAGTCATTTAAGTTTTGTTTAAGCTTTTAACAAATGTTGCCAGCTTTTTTCTTTTCCATAATGCAACTTTTTTTTTTAATTTAATAGCTCCATTAGGCTCATGTTCTTTTTTTTCTACTAATACAGTGCATGATTTTATGTGTTATGTCAATTATTTTAAGACACAGTTTCATAGCTTTTATTATGTTTGATTTGGAAGCTATAAACATGTATAGAATTTTCTTTATTATCTTTTATGCCAACATTTGGGAGAAAAAAAGGTGAAGCATAGTAAATAACCTGTGAAAGGATGCGTTTTATAAAACAAAGGTTTTTTTTTTTTTTTTTTTTCCTACACTTTGACTGTTGAGAACAATGTTTTTCAGATTCTCTTATTACAATAATAAGAGAGTTTCTTTTTCTAGGCTATTTTTCCTCATATTGAAGGTATCCATGTGTGCACAGTTTACCTTTTAGACAAGGACAGGAACAGCAGAGCTGAATTGAGCAGACCCATACGATGAGCTGTATCCAGTTCTTTGCTTTATACCCGGTTGAGCAGCACCTTTCAGCCACTCTCACATCTCAGAAGCATACCACCTGCTACCACCAAAAGGTTCATCCATACATTTAAATCACATGTTAAAACCAAATACAGCAAAACACTAAAACATGGAAGAGAAGCAGGTCATTTTTTAGGCCAGAATACTCTTATGTCTGCCTCTTCCTGTTTTTGTGTTCTCTACAAAGTCCTTCATATTGGTATATGATTTCTTGTAATCAAATTACCATTCTAGAATTCACATCAACAGAAAAACTTAGGTTGCCTTAAATTTGGATATAATGAATTTTGTCTGTATTATATGCCTTGTCCATTTTAAGAACCTTTAAAACTGTTTCACTTGAAGGGGAAAAATTAATGAAAATCATTTTGGATTTAATTAGCATGAATCTCTTTTTAAATGTGCTTTTAAACATTCTTAGAATCTTGGCACATTAACACATTGGGCATACATTACTGAACAATCTTCATGTAATTAAAAGGAAAGGTGTTGAGAACTCTAGTTTTCATTTATGATTTTGTAAAAGCTGGGTGTGTAACTGCTGTGGTAGTACATCTATATCATTTGTTATGCAGTGGTAGTTACTTAAGTTTACAAGACTACTTCTCTGCCCTGTATGAATAATAAATAACAAAACTTCATGGTTGTTGACTTTGTCTTTCACCTGTGCTGCCATTAGTATAGTTTTTGGCTTTTGCAGTTTTGGGGATCAAACCCAGAGCTTCGTATATCTAGAATGGCTTTTGTTTTGGGAAAAATTTGTACAGAAGTATGAAGAATCTTCCCATTTGTTTAGATGTGTCTTATATCATTTTGAATATTGTTTTTTAAAAAATACTCATTTCTATTCTTCGCTAAATCTCCCTTTCAAATTTTATTTAAAGAGATACTTCACTGCCCAACCTCATTTAATAGGTTAATTTATTTAAAAATAAAAATATTGTTTTCTTATACAAACGTTAAGAGATCTTGGCAATAGATGCCAGGTTATTGGGAGATGAAAAATTAAAGTAAAAGTTTTATTTATATTTAAGTTGAGGAAAAAAAAAACCAAGTTACTTTTTAGGTTCTGGGGTGTATAATTTTCTATAGTATAAAAACCTAGTTAACTTAGTTTAACTCAGTATTTCCCAAATATATTTTATCATGGAATCTTCTTCTAAAATACCTATTTATGAGGAACATACTTTGAGAAACATTGATATAAAACACTGTCTTCTGGTGATTAGTAATCTTTTAATATTTATTTTTTAGTTGTAGTTGGATACAATACCTTTATTTTACTTATTTATTTTTTTGTGGTGCTGAGGATCGAACCCAGGGCTTTGCCCATTCTAGGCAAGTGCTCTACGACTGAGTCACAACCCCAGCCCCTGATTTATAATCTTTTAAAAGTAGGTTAAAATTGTACAATAAATTATTGTAGGAATCTGGCATGGAGTTTTATATCTAGAAAAATTCTCTTGGTAATAAAAAGAGTATATGATTTTAAAAACTATTTGTATATCTTTTTGAAAAATTCCATTTAAATCTTTTGAAAATAATCATGTTTTATTGATTTTTCAACCAGCCTATCTTTAATCATACACTGTTAAATATTTTTATGCTTCATACATATGGCTTATGCCAAAGCATCAAGTAAAATCCATGTCGGGACCACAGGGAAAGATCCTTTAAATATAAAGACTTCTAGAGAAAATATCTTCTATGATTGCTAAAATTCACATTTAGGCTTTGAAAGCAGGGTGTGCTTGGCTCATTTAAGGAAACTGTCCTTTCAGTGGAAGAAAAAAATCTATAAATTTGTTGAGTGGAATGAACAAACTATAGATTCAAATCAAGTCTTTCACTCAGTGTTTTAACCAGAAATAACAGGGGAACCAGATGATGAGGTTTGTTGTTCAGAAGCAGTATATCAATCAAAGGTCCTCATGACCTCAGTTTTTCATCTAAACCTGGAAACAATAGACCCTTCTCTCAGGGAATGGGAGAGACTATAAAGCATAGTTTTGACATCCTTCCCACAGAGCAAGTGTAAATGTGCAACAGCAGTCTGTGCTGATGTAATGGAGATGATAGGTACTTAGAGTAACTCTTCTAATTAGAGAATAGTCTGAAGATGGACTTTTGATTAACTGACTTTAAATTTTTTTTTTTTTTTTTTTTTTTTAGTTGTAGATGGACACAATACCTTTATTTTGTTTATTTTTGTGTGGTGCCGAGGATTGAACTCAGTGCCTCATACGTGCTAGGCAAGTGCTCTACCTGTTAGCCACAACTCCAGCTTCAACAGTGACATTTTTGCTTCCAATAGGTTAAGTTCTGTATTTTAAGGTGAATTGGTTTGCTAATTGAGTGACACGTTAGAGCTTAAGTTGGCAGTGAGCCTTCATGTTTCGGAGGGCAGCCACTACTACTATCCTTCTGCTCTAGAGTGTTGCTTTCCCTCTCATTCCTTTATCTAATCTCCCAAAATTTGGGGAGAAGACTAAAAAGTCCTGAATAGAGAAATCATTTAAGTTCATACTTTTAGTACTTATCTAAAATATTATATGCATATGTTTTCCAATGTGTGTAAATTTACCTAATTTACTTTTTAGCTTTAGAAGAAAGCAGTTTTCCATTTAGTTTCAAAAAAATTATTTTCAGTGTCTGTCATTTAGATATGTAAAAGACTTAAGTATAAAGATTAAGTGTAAAGTATTTTTTTTTTGTTCTTTGGGACCATCACATACCTCATGTATTTTGAGGTACTTTTAGAATCTCAATTTTCCTAATTGGGGGAGGGGGTGGTGCACAGAGAAGGGACAAACCTAAAGACCCAACTTATTATGGAAAATACTAACATTTTTAATAACATAAGCTCACCTATACATGTCATTTAAAACTTACATTAATGAGCTGGCATCATAGCTCATTGGGCTAGGGTTGTGGCTCAGTGGTGGAGTGCTCGCCTAACATTTATGAGGCACTGGGTTTGATCCTCAGCACCACATAAAAATAAAATAAAGGTATTGGGTGTCCACCGACAACTAATATATATATAAATTTTAAAAAATTGATGATGATGATGATGATGATGATGTGTATTCCAACTAAATAGTTTATGATATATTTAAGTGATATATGCCCCCTCTATCCTCTTCCCTTCTTTCCCTCTGTCTGTTATTTGGACCAAACCTAAGCAATTCCATAACCTTGTTTTTTACTCTTTTCTTACATAAGGTTGTCTTTTCTTGCTCCTCTTCTTCTTCTTTTTTTTTTTAATTTATTTCTTACATACATGACAATAGTGGAATGTATTACTTGTTGTTCGTATATTAATAATTTCCTCTAAATTTTGACCAACTTTTTTTTAAATATACACACACATACATTTTTTATACTTTACTTTCATGGATTACTGATGTGTGCAGGACTGTTTGCCTTTATGTTAAATGATTCCGGATTGCTATGTTTTGTGAATTATGCTTATGTGAGTTTGTATTCTCTATGCTTTAAGCAGCCAGTCAGAAATCTTGCTGCTATTTTATGTGCCTGCTTGTAGCAGTATTTTGTATCTTTTTCTGTCCCTTCTGTTTTATTTTTTGTATTTAATCTGCCATGGTCTAGAAAATAATATAAATTTTAGAATTATACATTCCTAACATATATAACTATGTAACTACTATATATAACAGTGAATACCATCTGTGGAGAGATCCCCTATGAATAAAACTGCATGAACTTTAATACTTGTAGCTCTGATAGTTCTTTTGACTATTAAGAGCTTTGTTTTGCATATTTCCAGATCTGTTACATTCAAAAATAGTTGAGGCTACTGGTAAATGACTTTTGGTTGAGGGAGCTACATTCATCTATTTTCTAGCCAGACAGGTCAGATAACAAATTCCCATTACTTGCCTCCATTTTGTATAATGTGAAGGGGGCCTGTATGTTTGAGCAGCCAACTAATTCCTGGGTGTAATTTCTTTTCTTTTCTTTCTTTGGTGCTGGGGATTAAACCCAGGGGTACCTTATCACTGAGCTACATCCCCAGTCCTTTGTATTTTTTGTTTTGAGATAGGGTTTCTCTAAATAGCTGAGAATCTCACTATGTTGCCCAGACTGGCCTCTAATTTGCAATCGTTTCTCAGCCTCCAGAGTTGCTGGGATTATAGGCATGTACACTGTACCCGCTCTGGGTACATGCCTATAAATGTCCTTTCCCTACTTTTTCATTTCTCTTTTGAGTTTTTCTCCTTGTCTCTCAAGTTGAGAGGTTTTCTGTCCTTAAGAGAAAAGGGGAGAATAAAGTTTGGAAGACCTTGTGGAATGGTATTGCCTCCTTAACTCTTACTACATATTTTTATCACATATTCTCCATACCTCTGCTTTTTGCCCTTCCCCCTACCCCCGCTTATGGTGCTAGGGATCAGACCCAGGACCTCACACGTTCCAGGCAAGTATTCCACCACTGAGCCACAATGTCAGTCCTCCTCTTTTCTTAATATATGTTTAAGTACTTGCAGTTGTTACTGTTGCTGACAGAGTGAGGATAGTAAATATTTCCACACTGTGATGCTTTGCACACCTTGACTTGGAATTTGTTTTTTTCCTTTCTCATTCCTCTTAATCCACACTGCTCATCCTCTTACTCCCCCTCCATTCATCCCACTTTCTTTCAGGTCTCTTTCCCCAAGCCTTTGGAATCCTTACCAGTATCTTATATTGTGGATGTGCTTGAGAGGGCAGTAAATAGATAATGGAATAGAGGGGTTGGCTTATTCTCTCATCTCATTGTAAAATTGTACTAGAGTAGGAAATGTGCTTTCCAGATGTCTCATGTTTGAACTCTTAAAAACATTTTTTTCACAATGAGATTTGATAAAAAAGGGTCTTTGGAGTCTGCCTAATATTGTGTATGTGGAAAATTTTAATTACAAAATATTTGTAATGTATAATGGATAGCTTTTTATTTTAATGTATAGAATGTATTTAATAAACAAATTTTTTATACTTCACATGTGGACAGTTATATTTTTTCCCTTTCTTTCTACTAGGAATTTCCATTTTTTACCCTGACTGCATTTCCTCCTGGATTCCTTGTGCACGTTGGAGGTGTTGTTAGTGCACGTTCTGTGAAACTTTTGGATCGTATCCACAATCCTGGTATGTTCTTGCTTTTACTGCTTTCCTTTATTTAAATTCTGTTTATTAAAACTGATTTTTATGTTTTATGGACCAAATCTATCTGAAAAGAAAAAATGAAAAGAAAGTATAAACTGGCACATGTTACTTTAAAATATTTGTAGTAATCTTCATTAAAAAATGATCAAACTCAGTAAAAGTATATGTTAGTTACTTTTCTATGTAAAACAAGCACATCTTGATTTATTTTTGGCTAAGGAAATTCCTAAATGATTTTTGAATCAGCAATTTTCTTTGACAGGGGAAGATAGAAAATTTTTACAATTTGACCATTATGGTCATTAATTTAAGATGTTAATTCTTTTTACTAGCAATATGTTTTTATCATTAATTTCTTTGTTTCTAAAAAGAGGTATCCTTTTAAATATTGTGTACAGTATCTAAAAATTAAAAAGAACAAGAACAAACTAATATTTGGTTTTTTGGTTTCTTTTTTGTAACTATTTGTTCTATGTAAATGAACAAATGAGAATAGTAGCTCACTTTAAAACATGGGACCATAATTATTAAAGAAGATAGTCATCAAAGCCCCAGTAATTTCAGGCCCTTAGATTAGAAATACTCTGGTCATTTTTCTAAATCTAAAATAAGCATGAGAAATGGTAGGAACTTACATATGGAATGTATTTTTGCATCTCTCATTATCTAGATGCTCAATCATTTGCTCAAGTCACTAATTTTGATGACATATTTTAAACCTGAAGTTATATTAGTATTCTTATTTGGCATCTGTACATACATATTTTTGAAAGTTTTAATTTGTCACTCTGGGAAGTAATATCTTTGTGATGCTTATACTGAGAACTATGAAAAAAAGTAGAATCCTTTAAAATTATTGGGTGGAAAACATTGCAGATAATGATTTTGAGGATTTATAGCATTACCATTCTTTCAGCTTTTTCAATATTTAATCCATGTTGCGTGCTTTCATTTTGTGTGAGTTAATTTCAGAGAGGATGCAATTATTCAGGACCCTGAATACTACTCAGAGAAGAAGTGCTAGCTGGGTCTACTTAATTCAGAAGCTTAGCAAATACGGCTTTAAGCACCAGTCTTTTCTTTTTCTTCTTTGGTTTATTTTTTCCCCATTTCTTATTGTTTTTTTTTTTGGTTAATTTAAGAACTTTTCTTCTTTGTAGTATTTGTGTATTCTTTGTTTCTTAGAGAAAAATTAAGACTAATGCTACTTTATGGTAGTAAGATATTGGGGACTGTCAAGTTCTATATCTTTGTGTTTAGGACTTTGAATTTTTTGGAAAGTTTAAGGAAATACTAGTTAAGGTACGTGACATTAATTGGGTGACACAATGCTAGTCACCTATATTTCTATGGATTTTTGACTCCAGTATTTTAATAGATGGTATCTACTAATGAGATTCCAAAAACAGCTTTAAGGTTATTTTCAGTCATTGGTAATATCTTCTAAAATGAAAACATTTTTATTTTATTTTGTTGCTTCCATGTACTCTGAATAAATGGTAGAGTCTGGGAGAACAAAGTTTACTTAAATAAACTTACATGTAGAGGTGTGTTTTAAATGCCACTTATTTATTTATTTATTTTTAAACAAAAGACTGTTTTTTTGAGGGGGGTTATCAGACCTGGCAATTTATTATAGCTTTGTTACAACTGTAAGAATCTAGGTCCAGTGAAGAACATGAGAATCCTGTTACAGAATGTTTTTTTGTGTCCTAATTAGCAGTCACCAGTTTCCTCCTTTCTCCCCACTTTCAGAATAGTTTTTCAGTTCAGGTATAGAAATTCTTCAGTTATTAATGGACTGTTCCCAAAAGACTATAGGCATATACATATAAATGCTTTCAATGGTGTATGAGTTACATTTTCATTTTTTTTCCTTTTAGTTAAATACATGTCAATTATATATTCTAATGATTTCAATAGTATCTTACTTTGATTTAAAATATCATTCATTGGATTGTTTTATGTATGTATTATACACTAAAAAGGAACATTTACTTAAGATCATTTGTTAATCACTAAACTGCTTAAATATTTTTTTATGAAAAAATGTTAATTTGTTGAGAAAATTAAACTCTGGATTAGCATCTACTATAATGACGATGTAGTAATTTTGTAACACTAAGTCATTCTGCTAATAGAAACTTGGGTAGTGATATATATGTGTCAATGTTGAAAATACTGTTTTCACCCTCAAGTTAATCTTTTAGCTATTTTTTGACTAGTGAATATTGGAAATTTTTATTTCATTCTCAGTATACAAGGAAAAAAATAATATTTTAGAAGCACTACCACCTACCAAACTCTTTGGATTATTTGGCAATTTTCTGTTTTTGAACTTTCTCCTTTGCTAACTATTAAGTAAACAGGAGCATAAAGGTGAAGAATGGGGTGGTTTAAAAAAAATCAAGGTAATTAACTTAAACAATTAGACTAGTTAATGTTAGTTTACTATATCATGCTTCTTCTTTCCTTTCTATTTCTACTTCTTATTAACTCTGCTGTCTGTCTTTCCAGTTCCTGTCGAGTGGTATTGTCAATTGTGTTTTTGTTTATAGTTTTTTTTTTTGTTTGTTTTATCCTACTATTCTCCACCTAAAACTGATCTACTAATTTGCTGTTTTGAACTCAGCCTTTGTCGGAATTATGGGTAACACAAGATCTTACAAACTACTAGACTGGAATAGTTTCAATTCAGGTATTTTAATGGTCATTCAGTACTACATATGCTGACAAAAATTATGGCAGCTCAGTGAAGTTTTTAGAAGTGTTCTAGATTAAATAGGTTTAATATCAATTCAGTTACAAAGATATATTCTGCAATACATATGTAATAACTTGTAATTTCCATGGAAATGCAGATATAAAAATGTGTTAACTAAAATGAATTAATTAAAACCATAGAAATACCATAAATTATGAATGACTTTTCTTTTGTGACTAACTTTCAAATGAGAATTAAATTATATATTTTGGACAATTTTCATATCAGGGAGATTATACAGGCATTAATTTTATGATTAAGCAAATATTTGTTAATTCATAACTATATATGACTAATTTGATAAATCTTTTAAAAAGTAGACTTACACTGCATATATAGATATGAGTGGAATATACTTAGTGTTTTCTAAAGTTCTAAAAAATGTAATTGTTAGCATTTTTATTTATAATTCTAGAACTGTTCCAAAATTTGGCAATTCAAGAGCAGATTTCTTTGGAGATTAACAGCTTCTATAACATTTCCTCCTTCTCCTTCCATATGAGAATATAATTTTTCTTTTTGAGCCATTTAAATATTGATATAGTTTATAGCTTTTCAAGAAATCAAACTAAGAGAACTTTACAGCTGATGATGTGGTTTAGAGTCAGAACCAGTCAATTCTTTTTGAAAAAAGCATATTCTCTTACTAATATAAACATCTAAACTTTATATTACTATCTTAGAATTAAATTTAATTATAGAACTATTTTAATTCTGTATCAAAGCTGATATTTTGCCTAAAGAAAAATTTCAGTTCTTTGGGTCCAAAAGTATATCTTACAGAAAATCAAAAACACCAAAGGGCTTAGTATTTTAGATAATATCCCATAATCTTTTCAATATTATAAACCTTTTGAGTTTGTAGGAGTCCAAGAGATAAACTCTAATGTAAGTAATGCATGTTTGATTCTGAAGCAAGTCATATTCATCATGTAGATTTATCATAATTCAATCTGCTAAACAATCTGATTAGGTCCAACCTTTACAGTAAGTAGACTGGTGTCAATTGGTAAATCTTTAGGGAAATTGCCTCTATTTTCTATTCATGTTTTTACCATCATGCTGTCATTGATTTTAATTAAAATTACCATTTTTAGTGTAGTATTCTATAATTAACTTTTAATGAGAAACTTAGAAATATCTTGTTGGATTTATTTCATAGAAGCTATACATTTTAAAAATATGTTCAGTTTAGTACAGTGGGTAGAGAACAAGGTTGTGTTTAAAAAATACATTTAGTGCATTGATCTTTAATAGTTTAAGGAAGGTCAGAGGTGTTCAGGGTGAGATATATGTTGGTCAAATGATAGAACAGTCTTAAAAAGTGGGAAAGGCAAAATTAAATCTTGTAGACATGGGGACATTATTTCATGTAAGCAGAATTACAGAGTTTGACAAAAAGAAACATGGTTGAGGAAGGAATATATCTTGCCATCATTTAAAATAATGCCAGGTGAGAAGTATATGAAGAAAAAATATAGATATATTAATGAATGTTAAAAGAACATACCAATGATATTTTCAGTTAATTGTTCTCATCTCATTGATGAGGCATTAGGATTTGCCTGTAATAGCTGGTACATCTTCATAAATAAGGTTGGTTTTGATATTAGTTCAGGAAAAAGCACTTGATAATTCTGAAGAAAATATGATGTTTTTGGTAAATATATATTCAAATCATTTATGTATCCTATGTAATTTGGGACTGTTTAGCTGTTGCTATTTTATATTATAATAGAAAATCAAAATTGAACTTGTTAGTTAGAAAAGTAATTGTTAGTATTGTTTTTGTTATTGCTAGAATTGTTCCTTCATAATGAATTTCCAGGATTCTCTGACATCATGTGTCATGTGATACATTGTAGCCTTCCAAGAGAAAGGAAAAAGAAATGATACTACATTAAGTATACTTATTAATTATTAGACATTCTCATTTAAGAAACATTAAAATGTAGAAAGATATAGGAAAGCATGTTATGCCACACAATACTGTTTCATAAATATGGTAGATATGTCACATAAGCACATACAGTCATGCACTGCATAATAAATTTTTGGCTGTATATGATGGTGGTCCATAAATATATTATTGCCCAATTGATGATGTAGCTTAGTTGTGTAAGTACATGTAGTGATGTTTGTACAATGATAAAAATCCATCAAGGCATTTCTCAGAACATATATATCCCTATTTTTGAGTGACATATGACTATTTTATGCCATATAATTTGCTAGATACTAGAAGGCAAAGGTTGCCAATCCCCCTGCTTTCACAAAACTCATATTCTTGGGAGGTATAAAATTATTAAATGTAGTATGGTGTTATACTAGATGAAGAAGACACGATTAACTGGGTGTCAGGGGGCTTACAGAGGTGGCAATTCTTGAGTTCAGATTGGAAAGATATATAGGAGACTCTCATAGACTTATATCGTAGGCAGCATATTCAGTTAATACATACTTTGTGCCAGGCATGGTGGTGCTTGCCTCAGCTCAGGAGGCTGAGGCAGGAGGATTCTAAGTTTGAGGCCAGCCTTAGCAATTTAGTGAGGCCCTATGCAACTTAGCAAGACCCATTTCAGAATCAAAAATGAAAAGGGCTGGGTGTAGTTCAGTGTTAAAGTGCCCCTGGATTCAGTCCCCAGTACCAGAAGGGAAAAAATATATACATTGTATGTGGTTCTAAAACTTCCAGCATTTAGCAGAACGGTATCTCAGCCAGTACTTCTTTGATGATGTTTACGTAGTTACATCATCCTTAACTAAGTCTTTTGCCACTGAGTTAAAAATATCTTCTGTAGTTTAGCTTATTCCCCTGTTTTTTTCCTGCTTTGCTATCTTAAGTTTGTGTTAACTACAGTAAAAGAAAATATGTTTATAGAGCAGGAAGAATTGACCCCTTCTTTTATTTATTTATTTATTTTTTTGGGTACTGGGGATTGAACCAGGATGCTTAACACACTGAGCCACATCCCCAGCTCTTTTTATTTTTTATTTTCAGATGGGGTCTCATTAAGTTGCTGAGGGTCTCGATAAGTCTCTGAGGCTGGCCTTGAACTTGCAATACTCCTGTTTCAGCCTCCCAAGTCACTGGGATTGCAGGCATGCCAACCACAACTGGTGGTTCTTATGTTTTTGAGAAAGGAATGGTAAATCTTGCTGTTAGGAAGGAATATACTGTATTTATAATTCTTTTTCTTATCTTTCTTTCTTTCTTTTTTTGGCAGTACTAAGGATTGAATCCAGAGGTGTTCTTCCACACAGCTACATCCTCAGCCTTTTTTAGTTTTTATTTTGAAATGGCCTCACTGAGTTGCCAAAGCTGGCCTTGAACTTGCTAACCCCCTACCTTAACCTTTGGGGTAATTAGGATTATAGGCAGGTGCCCTGACTTCTGGCATATTTACAGATGTTGTTTGTGACATGCCAGGAACAGAAGCACACAGTAATAAGACAGGGTCTTCTAGAGACTTGGGAGGCTGAGGTAGAAGGATTACAAGTTCAAGGCCAGCCTGAACAACTTAGTGATACCCTGTCTCAAAATAAAAACAAAAAAGACTGGGAATGTAGGTCAGTGGTAGAGAGCCCTGGGTTAACACACACACACACACACACACACACACACAGAAAAATAACAGCAACAGCAACAACAAAACAGGCATCCATGGTTATATTTGCATTAGATCATTGACTATAGTCAATAAGACTAGAGATAAGGAGACAGGTGATTCACAAAAGGAGACTTAAAGGAGAGCTAACTTTATTGAGAATTTACTATGTGCCAGACACACTTCTAAGTGCTTTATAATAGCAGGTTGTTTAATTTTCAAAATGAATCTCTAAGGGAGACACTAATCCCATTTTGTAGATGATCAAAATGAAGCAGAACAGTTTCCTCAAGGTATGGACACCTAGAAAGTGACTTGAACTGTAATGTGAACCTGAGCATCCTGGCCTCAGAATCTATACTCTTAAACACAAATTAATGAAATATTGAGAATATAAAATCAACAGGACAGGTAATGAGTGGAATGTGGCAAGTGAAGCAAGCTAGTGTCAGTTTTCAGCTGAGAGAGAGAGAGAGAGAGAGAGAGAGAGAGAGAGAGAGATTATCCTATAATTAATTATAAGCTTTCAGTTAGCCATTGACTCTGTCCTTGGAAACACAAGTTTATTGGAAAGTTGAACTATAAAAAGTAGAGTAAATATTAATAGTCCCAGCCCATTGTTTTTCAAATGGGCATAATCTTTTTTGCTTTATCTCTTGATAAAGACTATTTCCGGATAGTCACACATAAAATTTTTTAATGAGTGATGGTCTCAGTGTAGTTGTGGAAAATATGCTATATTCTTTTTCTGTATGGGATGTATGTCAGCTGAGATGTTTTTTCAGGAAGTAGCAAGAGAGAAATACATAATAGTTATATAATCTGGCTTGAAAATGAAATTATATATTTTTGAAATGCTTTTAATCATTTAAGTCCTGAATTGGTAAAAACAAGTTGGATTTTATGAAAAACTAAATAACTTTTGTTTTGGAGAATATTTAAATAATTTTAAAGTATGTTTTTGACGAATCATAGATTTTAGGACATATTATACCTAAGTTTATTTTACTATACAATAAATTTTTACTAGGGATAAGGCAAAACTTTATAATAGTTGTTTGAAATTAGAAAATTTTTTTGTTAGTTATCAAAATATTTGTTTAGAAAATTCATCATATTTTGGAAGCAAAAATTTAGTTAAAAACTAAAAAAAGTATGAATATTTTCACAAAACGTTTAATTTTAACAATATTTATAGAATATGTATGTCAGTCTGCTTATCTAAATTTTTTTTCTTGTTTTTTAATTTTTGGTAAAATCTTTTTATTTAGTGAATATTTGTGGAGTGCCTGCAAGGTGAGGGAGCACTGTATTTGGTGCTGGGGAAGGAACACTGCAAGGCAGATGTCCTCTTCACACACCTGGTCTTGGCTAATTCTTATACTATTTTCTGGTGTGTGTTTGTGTGTGTGTGTGTGTGTGTGTATGTGTGTATGCACACACGTGTGCTAGATAAATGGAGATGGGTGGTAGGTTCTCTTGCAACTTGAATTCATCTGATAATCTCAGCAATTATTATTTTTATTTTATGTTAGAGGTACTTATGAGCAGATGTGTAAAAACTAAACCTAAAGTAGTTGAGCAACTTTTGATTGTCAGTATTTTAAAAAGTTTTCAGGAAGAACGTAGAGTTCAAGAATGCATAAATGTACCGATATAATATATGAGCTTTTCTATATTACCCGTAATTTTGGAATAATGAATATGTAGTTGCACTATGTATAGAAACAGTGAAATTCCACAGTTGAGTAGATTACATATCAGAATTTTTTTTTTTTTAAACAAGTAACAAAGACTCCAGTATAGTCCAACATGGGTTATATGCCAGCTACCATCCTAACATCCCAAATTTCTAACTAGGTCTTGATTGCTCTGTATTTGCACATGACACCTTCCATAATGAGACTCCTTTTCTTAGTCTATTACTAATCCCCACCTCGTTTGAGGTTATAAACTCTTTGAACCTAAACTCTCTTATTTCTCTTTCATTAGGAGAAATGTATCTTTCTTAAGGTTATTGATTGGAATATTACTTTCGGGTATTTGGGAATATAGCTTTTCATGCTATCCTTAATGAGATAGATTACCATTGTATTTAAAACCTTTACTTGATCCAACCTAAAATCTCAAAGGGATTGAGTTTAATAAAGGCACATTATGTTGAGTTTACCAGTTTTTTACTTTCTGACATACAAACTGTTAAGAATCTTTACCCGTTTCATCTGCACTTCAGAAATAAGATAAAATAATAAAAAGATGGCAAGATATCAAGCTGTGATCGGGCTCTAGAAAGTAATAGTAGTATAAATGAATTAATTCTGATGTTGGCCTGCATGTGCTAACATTATCCCTAAAAGAGACATCAAGGAGATACTGATTTAGAGCTCAGCTCATCCTGCAATTAAAAGGATATATTAAAAGATTTGTGATATTATCTATGAAGAGTTTAGACCCATAGAAAAAAACTTAAAATAGTGTGAAATATAATTTATATAATAATTAAATTTTAATTTTTCTTAAAAGGTATCTTATAAACAATTCTATATTTTATTGGGAGGAGCATGGTATTTAAAGTGAAGATGTGTATATATATTATTTTTTTAAAATATCTTTGAAATGTCTATTCAAGATGAGCACACATCTCAGCTGTATATCCTTCAAATAACCAAATTGTATCCAGTTTCATATGTGGCAGGTATAGTTGCCATAAATTTTTGAGCCAAACTCTGTTTTGCTTTTATATTACTATGGTAGATTCTCAATTTTCTAACTTTGTAGGGTGAATTAAAACAATTCAGATTCAATAGTGTGTTTCCTATAAAAATATAGTTAGCAGTTTTTAAATTTAAAAATTCTATTATAGAATTAAATACTGTGATGTATCTCAATTCTTATTTTTAATAAATTAGTCTTAATCATAATTACTCTTGAGGATTCTCTGGATTATCTCTGGCCTGAGTGTAATAAAGGCTTTAAGATCAATTTCAATTTTTTTTTCAATATTAAATAAATTGATTAATCTTAATTTTATTATAATTAAATAACCCCTAAATTTAATAGACACAAAATTCATCCTTTGGTTCCTTGTTATAGATTATTATTGTTAATACAATTACTAATTTGTGATTAAGTGCTCCCTACTGTATGCTTGCCTTGCTTTCACCTAGAATCTAGGGCCATTACTTTCTGTAACCATTTCAGTGAGCTGCCATAGTTTTCAGTCTGTACTGTCACCTGATCCAAGCATGCGCCAAAATATCACTGTTCCTGGCTCCTGTATGCTGAATCTGCTTTGCAAACCCTTCGTTCCTTGAGCTTTTGCTTTAGCCAAAAACCAAAGTTAACAAATTATCTGGATATGGACATATACCATTTGCTTCCTTAGCTCCCATGCTGTGTAACTCTCTAGCTTTTTATTAAACTTGTAAATACTTTATTAAATACAATAATGGCATTCCCATGTGCAGTTGTGTGGCTCATGTGTCAAAATAAAGGCTGCTTGTGAATTTGTCAGAAGAATATGAATGCTCCACTTGCGTGCGCTGCATTCAGCTTTTCCGTGTTTTTTTTTTTAATCAACCACTGACTCTTTCATGGTGTTTGGTTTAATTACCTGGTTATTATATGTGTTATACCAAGGTAAGTTTGATGTAAGGTAACTTCTGTATTCTATGTGGTTACACGTATTTCATAGGAATTATTACATATTTTTCCATTTAAATTGTTGGCCATTTCTAAATAAATATTTTTTAACTTACAATAATAAGTAGCTTTCTCCATTTTTAAAATTAATTTTTAAAGTAATGTGGATTATTTCCTGTAAAATTTGTTTTTAAACCAGAGAAGCTACTGCATGTTACTTATGGTATAGATAGATGTAGGCAAACCTAATGTAAGAAAATCTATTCTTTTAAAAAATATAGTATACAATTATTGGGTTTAGGAAATAATATTTTAAACTTCCCAAGTGCTTTAAAAAGTAAGTAGCAGATTCTAATAGTGAGTTTAAGGAAGTTGGGCTTTTTATTTCATGTAGTCTTTTAGGAAAACACTTATTTTCTAAACTGAATTATGCATCTATTGTTATTTGTGATATGTTTTTCTCAGCATCAGAAATAATTTGATAGATGAGGACAACAACTTGAGTAATTGTTTGTCTTATAAAAGATTCTCTTTTAGGAAAGGATGTTAAATGGATGTTCAGAGTGGTTCACAAGCACGTATGTCTTAGAAGAAAAAGCAAATTTGAGCTTGAAAGTCTATCTGTGCTGTTTATGTACACATTTCAGTTACGAATGTGAAGAAAAACTTTGACATGTAGTATTTGTGCAAAATAGGGCCTCCTAATTGTTTCACACATTTCTTAATTTCATAGTATTGAGTGCTAACAGATTGTAGTCTTTTCTATTTCTCTTCCTTCTTTATTTTATCTTGTACTTTGATCTTTCCTCAGTTTCCTGAAGTCTGTATTCTTTCTTTTCTTCTGAAAGAAAGTTTTAGGGTAGCTCTGTCTTGGATCCAAAACTTAAATTCAAGAACTGGCTGGCATAATTTTTAGTTCTGGCTTTTATCTCCTCATTTCTACCTTTTGCTGCTCTCCTCCCTGTGGAGGAAACAATCACTTCATAGGAATGTGACCTATAACAAGCTTCCTAATCTTTTTTACTTTGCTGTCTTCACTATTTTAATAGTGAGTATAATTCCACTTACTCTACTTATTTTGAAATGGATATATACTGCAATTTAAAAATAGAAAGTGGTGTTGGATTGTTTGGTTTTCAGTTTTAATAGTTCTTTTTCTATGGAACCTTTTACAATAAGAGCTTAGCACCCTATTTAAAGTTGATTAAGTTTTCAAATTGTTCCCAGATAGGAATAGGCCACAAAAAGAAACAAATCAGGATATGCTAATTATAGACTGTTGAGTTCTGTTTTTAACATCTTTGCTGGTAAAAACTTAACTCTAATTTGCAGCTGCTGTTCACCAATAGTTTGCAGCTAAATGCAAGTGATTAGGAAGTATGTGTGACAGCTATCACTTTTAAAATGCTCCATTGCAAGCAATATTAGACTTCCCTGTGGCAATAAAATATAATTCTGCTAGTCTAAGCTTTTCTTGTCTTTTTTTTTTTTTTTTTTTTCCAGTGCCAGGAATTGAACCCAGGCCTCCCGCATGCTAGGCAAGCACTTTACCACTGAGCATACAGCCTCAGACATAAAGAGCCATATAAAAGTTTATTATGTTCAATCTGAAATTTGTCCTTCTATACATTAGCCAAATATATATATAATCTTTTAGATGTATTTGCTTTCTTTTTTTATTGACCTATCCCCTTATTTCATGTCACTTGATCTAGCACCCACAACTCTGTAGAAGGATGGCTGCATATAGCTTTCTCTTTCTCTCTCCCCGTTTTTTTAAAAATATTTTTTCAGTTGTAGATGGACACAATAACTTTATTTTTATGTGGTGCTGAGGATCGAAACTAGTGCCTCACACGTGCGAGGCGGGCGCTCCACCACTGAGCTACAGACCCAGCACAACTTTTTTTTCTTTAAACATTGACAAGTCTTTGTATTTGAAAAAACCCAGACTATAGTGGATTATAAAAAAAAAAAAGGAATGAAATCAGAATTTTTATTAACTTTATGGATGTGACACATAAGTCACACAGGTGAGACATAGGGTATTATCTTGGTGAAGGTTAGAATCTGGAAACTCTAGATCTACATTTTAAGTTGTATCTAATAAAATACATGCCTATAGGTGTCCCTTAAAGTAATAAAGCAAACAGCTGAGTGGTTTGCTTTCTAGCAACCAATTTAAAAATGTTAAATCTTATGCTTTTTGAGAAGTAGCATTTTAAAGATGTTAAGTTTAAAAATGTTGTAGAGCAGTACTTCTTTATCTCAAATAATATGTTTATTTTCAACATTGCTTATTCATAAAGACAATGTGCTGTTGAGTAGTGAACTGATTTAAAATTTATTTTTCAGATGAACCGGAAACTCGAGATGCATGGTGGGCAGAAATCAGACAAGAAATAAAATCACATGCTAAAGCCTTAGGCTGTCATGCTGTAGTGGGCTACAGTGAGTCAACCAGCATCTGGTAAATGATGACAACAACTTGGCTTTTTAGACACTGGAATCTAGTTTGTCATGTGAATGGAGAAAAAGCTTTATGCAGATGTAAAGCAAAGAATAGGAGGGTCAAGAGCTTGGGTCTTGGGGTGCTTTGGGCCACATTTAATGTGCCATCTTTCCCACTTAATCACTGTGAAGCTTAGGGAACATTGCTCAACTCCTCTGAGAGCTTCAGTTTATTCATTAAAATGGAGAAAACAAAACCTGTCCAATAAAAAGTCCTTCAGGGAGTAAATGAGAGTATTATACTGACATATTATAGCAAGTATAAACACTATTTTACTACAGTTCATGAGTTTGTAGACTTTTTCCTTACACTGAAATATTTGGAACTCTTGATCTTTTATAAATGAATTAGCAAGTGTCTTAAAAGTTTGTAAACTTATTCTACCTCCATTAACTAACTGGAATATAACTTTATTCTGCTAACAAATCATCCTTTCTAACTCTTCCAAGGTAGGAAGGGGCTTCCATATCCTCAGTTCTCAGCTCCTTTTTCTCTTTCATTTGAACAGCTTGCCCTCTTTTAAAATCAGAACCATTTTACTGTTCACAGCCCTACCTCCAAACATTCTTCTGCTTTTCATTACTTGTCTTCTATTTCTTCCAGTTACATATTCTTTCTAGTTGCCTGGGTTGAAGCTTCTCATGCCAGAGTCCTTTATTGCCATTTGACTTTCAACCATGTTTCAGACCTCATTATCTCTCTCCCCTACCCCAGTGCTGGGGATAGAATGCAGGGGCACTACCACTGGGCTACATCCCCAATCCTTTTAATTTTTTTATTTTGAGATAGGATTTCAAATAAGTTGTCCAGGCTGGCCTCAAACTTGCTATCCTCCTGCCTCAATCTTCTGAGTGGTTGGGTTATTGCCTCTTAAAACTATTTCATTAAAAAAATTTGAAATTCTAAAATTTTACTCTCAGATAATAATATTTTCCCACCAACTCATTTGCTCATTTATACCTCATTTCTTTTGACCTGTATTAAGTATTTTCTCATTTTCTTTCCTCAGTCTGACTTGATTTGCTCTTTTTGCCATCCTTGAACCCTATTTTCAGCCTCTTCAAAATTTATGATTAAAATTTATTCTGCTAAATCATCAAAGGATGATTTGTTAGCAGAATAAAGTTACATTCCAGTTAGTAAACGGAGGTAGAATAAGTTTACAAACTTTAAAGACACTTGGTAATTCATTTATAAAAGATCAAGAGGTCTAAATATTTCAGTGTAAGGAGTCTGCAAAGTCATGAACTGTAGTAAAATAGTGTTCATACTTGCTATGTGCCAGTATAATACTCTCATTTACCCCCTGAAGGACTTTTATTGGATAGGTTTTGTTTTCTCCATTTTAATGAATAAGTTGAAGCTCTCAGAGGAGTTTATCAATGTTCCCTAAAATTTATGAAAAATTTATGATTATGTCAGCTAGAAGCTGTTTTACTTTCCTATTTTCCATCTTCTATTCTTAGATAATTATTTTTCTTTTCTTTTTTTCTTTCTTTCTTTCATCCTTTTTTTTTTTTTTTTAAGAATTTAACCTTTATTTTATTGTTTTTAATGTGGTGCTGAGAATCAAACCCAGGGTCTCACTCAGGCTAGGCAAGCACTTTACTCCTGAGCTATAAACCCGGGCCCTCTTGGATAATTCTTAATGCCAGATTCTCTGCTCTTGTGGCTATCATTATTTTAGAGAAAAATAAATGTAGTAAATGTGAGTATTATGGGGCCATGCTATTCACTCTTTGGTGGTCTTTTTCTTTTCTGTAGCAGACTATGTATTATACATTTGAACTATTCTATTCCTGTGGTAGCTATTCTACTCTAGGTAATTACCAGCTTTGTAATGCTTGTTTTGCTTTATTTTCTGACAGATGGTCTTACCTCATTCATGGATTTAGTTTCATAGGCTTTCAGGTTCAAGTGATATCAAGTGATATGATTTTAAAAGACATAGTTGTTACCATCAGATTTACATTTCCTCCTGGAGAATTGTGACATGTATAATCCATTTTATGATTTGAGATTTACCAGTACACTTCAAGATCCCGGAGGGCTGAAAATCAAAAAGAGGATAGAAATAAATATTAATGGTGTAACTATTGCTTGAACTTAATCTTGAGAGATGAATATGCATTATGTAAATGAAGAGAAAAGTCACAGGGCATGTTCAAAGCTAAAGATATAGCAAATGAAGAATGCCAAAGGGTATGGCACGGCTGAAGATAGGTTACAGGTGCCTGAGTCTAAGTATTAGGCCATTGAATTAAGGAGGGATCACAGGTGCAACAGTCTGTTTTATATATCAGTCTAGTGAATTTACCTAGAAGTTCAAATTCATCTGCCAGAAATTCCCTTTTTTCCCCCCTAGACCTTAAAAACAAAAAATCTTTGTATTTATATACTATCTTGACTATTTTTTTCTGTTCTAACCCATCCTGTTTAGTGTTCTAGATTAAATTCTTTGAGGTGCACTCTGCTTTGGAACCTCTTGACTCAGAACCTTTGCAAACTCATGTTATTCGTTCTGAAATTGCCAGTGCCCTCGTACCTTTTATGCCTTGCATTCTTGTACTCACTCATGTTTCACATGACTATTTCTTTTGTATGTTTCTATGCTTCTGTTCCATTTACTCCTTGTTTCTACATTTTGTCCCTGGGCTGCTACTTGTCTTATTTGTTTTGGGTGATAGCCTTCAGTAGTTATGTTGATTTGTTTTATTATTTTAGCTTTCAAAACTGATGATATATAAAGAATTTTAAAAATTATTTTAAAATCAATTTTCTATCATATATTTTGATCTATATTAAGCTCCATTTAGTATATTTTGAATAATATCTTAGGCACCTTTATAATCATTCAGATTCAGAGTAAGCTATGGCAATATAGATATTTACATAGTTATACTTTTAGAATAGTTTTAATAAAACTTTATATGCATTAAGAAAGTATTCTAATATAATGTAGTGGATTATTATTGGATCCAACAATGTTGTATGTTACTGCTTACAGTTTGAAACATTTAAATCTTCCAGGTAGCTATTGTTATTAATATTATGCTTTACCTTGTTTTTCAATTTTTAATTTGTAGAGAATTCTTGCCCTCTCCATTTTAATAAAGTTACTTCCATTTTCTATCCCAGATTTAGAAGGTAAATCCTGTGGTATTATTCAATATTTAGTAAAGTCTAACTTGAATTTATCACTCTTGTAATAATTTTGATATTTAGCATTTTCCAAAGTTATATTGCCTGAAAATATTCACTTGTTTGTATTTTTCCTGTTTTACAGTGAAGAGGTCTGTATTTTATCAGCATCTGGCACAGCGGCTGTTCTGAACCCTCGATTTCTGCAGGATGGCACCGTGGAGGGCTGTTTGGAACAGAGGTTGTCATGGCAGCCTGCCTTATTTTCTGTAATGGCAGAGAAGGGAGAAGTTGTCTCCTTTTTTTCCCCTCAGAACCAGAATAGTTGTCTATTAGGGTGGCTTACAGTGGTACAGTATAGAAATTGGGATGTGGCACTTTACTAATGTTTAACTAATCTTTGGTAACAGGTAAGTATGGGGTTCAGCACTGTATTACACACATTATTTCTGTCACGATAAGTGACATGTGTGACTATAGTTTTAGTCCACTCTTGCTTTGCTGTGACCAGTACACCTGATGAGAACAGTGTAGAGGAGGAAAAGTTTATTTTGACTCAGGGTTTCAGAGATTCAGTCCATGGTTGGCAGAGTCCATACCTCAGGGTTGGAGGGGAGTGGCAGAGGAAAGCGGTATAGAACATGTTAATATCAGAAAGCAGACAGAGAGCTGTACTCATCAAGGACAAAATCGAAACCCCAAAGGCATGCCTCCAGTGACTTACTTTCATACCCTGCCTGCCTACAGATACCACCCTGTTAATCCATATCAGTGGAATAATCCACTAATTGATTAGTTTACAACTCTCAAATCTAATCGTTTCATCTCTGAGCATTCTTGCATTGTGGCATACATGAGCTTTTGGGAGGATAGGACATATCTAAACCATAGCAACTACCAATTGAGGAATTTTTAGACTTTGTTATAATATACAAATTATTTTATTTGACTTTGCCTTTCTTTCCCCCTTATGCCTCCTTCAAAAACAAAAAAGAGGCCATGAAATAAGATTCAAAAAAAAAAAAAGTTCTTATTTCACAAAAATAATCAAATCACTATACTGTATAAAATTACAGATAAAAACTTCATGGAAAGTAACTGTAGTATTTGTAAAACAGAAAGTAAGAGTATTAGGTAAAATAAACTTTGTGACTGACTTAATTATTTAGTCCCTTTGAACTTTTGTTACTGTAAATATGAAAATGTTTTTCATAAACAGACAAAACCATCAATTGTATATATAAACATATTCTTTTTTTAAGCATATACATGCATATAAGCTATTGGTTTGATATCAGAGTCTACCTGAATAAAATTTATTTTAATTATGCTTTATGACACAACGTTGCATGCTTGCTTTCTTCCCCAGTATTAATATATTAGTTATAAATTAAGTAAGGAAATGAAAATAATTCTATATTTGGTCAAATTTAGTATAAATTGGCAAATCTGAATATTACAAATGTATTTTAGCTCTAGTCAAAAGAGAACCTTGGTAAGTTCTTCTTTTGTCAATATTTAAATGGATGTTGGCCATTCTGTATTTCAGAACCTCAAAAGTTATAAATAGGTCAATTTTAAAGTGTGTTAAACAATTATAATATTCTGTTGAATATTATAATTCTGTTAATTTTCTCACTCCTGAAATATGGTTCTTAACACTTCAGTAGATTTAATTCCTTTTTTTTTTTTTAAATATTCTTTTTAGTTGTTGATAGACCTTTATTTTATTTATTAACATGTGGTGCTGAGAATCAAACCCAGTGCCTCATTCATGCCAGGCAAGTGTGCTAACACTGAGCCCAAGCCCCAGCCCAGATTTGTGTGTGATTCATGCTGGCGATTGAGCCCAGGGTCTCAAATATGCTAGGCAAACGACATTCAGCTACCACTGAGTTACATACCCACCCCGCTAGATTTAATTCTTAAGTAGATAGAAGCCTAATTTAATAAATTATTTTTCCCATTTTTGGATTTTTCTGTTTTGTGGCTTAGGTATGTGTAGTAAATTTTCAAATATGTTAGTCCAGGACAACAGATGCCATCTCTAGTTGTGAACAAAAAAGCTTATCTTTTTTCCTGCTATAAAATTATCAGTGCTTTTGCTGAGGTTGATTCTCAGCACCACATAAAATAAATAAATAAAGGTCTATCAACAAGTAAAAAAAAAAAATTATCAGTGCTTTCTAAAAAATTTGTTTTTCAAAGAATGTAGAATAAAAGGCAAATTTCAAATGCTTTTGGAAATTTTCATGCTTTTATTCTTATCCCTTATAATGATGTATCACTTATGTTCAAATTTGTGTGAAGTGTTTAGTTAAACCTTGTTATGGTTTACCCCTTCCTAACATGGACTTTGGGTTCACGCTGAAATTCAAATATGAGTTCTGCTACTTTGTATTAAGTGTGACTTAGCAAGTTAATTTTCTGGGTTGATTTCAAGTTAAGAACTAGTATTAGTTATTATTAGCATAGTTCGTTATTATTAGTATTATTTTTAGTATTATTAGTATAGTTAGGAACTAGTATTTGCTGCTGTTTGCTAGGTATTACATTGAGTTTGGGATATATGTTTAGCTGTAGTTTTCTTAATTGTCAAAAACACCCACAAACATTTCTAGGTAGGTATTACATTTTCGTAGAGGAGGCTCTGAGACGTTAAGTAACTTATTCAAGGTCATACAGTTCACTCAGATCTGTTTTGACTTCCCTCATATTTCTAACATATGAAATGCTGTTTCTACAGTAGAATAATAATAACAACTAGGAGTAATGTAATGTGATTTACAGGGTTATTATGAAAATTCAATGAAAAAAATGTATATAAGAAATCTATAGATTGCCTGTCTTCTAGTTTATATAGTGTGAGTTTTCCTTCTCCCCTTTTTAAATTTGTCTGCTTGCCATATTTAATCTAGTAGGCTGCCTTAGGTTAGAGAGATCTAGACACATCTTTCCAGAGCTCTAGAAGATATGGCTGTTGGAAAGTTTGGGGTTCTCTGAGGAGCTTCACACTGTTTCAGTTCTTGTCTTGATTTTCTCAAATTTAGTGACTGAAAACATGTATCATTATTTTAAAATGAATTCACAAATAGGCATTTTACAGTGAATGGGGAGGAGTAGATGGTTTGCTTGTGGCTTATTTATGATATGTATGTCATTTATGACACTGGCATTTGGTTTGTCAGAAGTGTTAGAATTTGGTCATTGGAAATTAGAAGTCTTAGGGAGTATACCTATTTTTACCTTTTCTGCATTTCTTTGTAAATGCATTTGTTTTTATGTTAATGTTTTCGAATTAACTACTACATAAAAACATTAATATAAAATAAATGCATTTACAAATAAAAACAGGTATTTTTTTAAAACAACTTAATTAACAAGTAAGTTAATTGTAAAATGTTCTTTTTCCCTAAGAAATTTTTTTGTGCTTACTTTTGTCAGTTAGTAGGAAAATGTCACCTTTATTGTCCATCCATCTGTTTTTATATAGTATCTTTGGAACAATGGTAAGCTGATGAGTCGTCAAAGTTGGTACAAGATGGTTTTCTATTTTAAAGCTACTCTCATAGAAACAATGTACAGATCTGATTTTATGGTCATTTGTAATTCTTACCAGTCAAAGTGGTACTCTTACTCCTGTGGTAAAAGTTATATAGTTTGTATAGAAGTACTAAGTAGGTAATATTTGTTTCTGAAAAAAATCATAGGTTTTCAAGAATGCCTTTTTTATTTTTGGTGTGTGTGCTGAGAACTGAAAAATTCTTTCTTTCTTTCTTCATTTTTCTTAATGTATTTATATAGGCTTGAAGAAAATTTGCCTGCAGGCTGTGGATTTTGCCATATACCATATGATGAACTGAATATGCCATTTCCAGCTCATCTCACATACTGCTATAGTTGCAGGAAACAAAAAGTTCCTGATGTTCTCTTTACAACTATAGACCTCCCAATAGATGCAATAGTTATTGGAAAAGGTTGTCTTATTCAAGCAAGGTGTGTTTGTAAATACAGTATTTGTGTTCCCTAAAAAAATTATCAGGCATGGAGTTATAAATATTTATTGTTTCCTACCTATTTGATCCTGGATAGGCTGTGCAGTTCTACTGGAACCTTTATTCCATGTACTTTAGGAGGAAAAAATATCTGTATAAAACTCAAATAAGTTTATGTGCAGAAAGAGTTTTTAAATATTTAAATGCTGTACAAATGTTCATCATGGTTATTATTAACCTCTTTATAGGCTAGGGATATTACTAGCATAGATTGCTTAAATGACATTATATATATGTTAGCTTTTTTGCCACAGTTACCAAAAGACCTGTCAAAAACAATTTTAGAGGAGGAAAAGTGTATTTGGGGCTCATATTTTCAGAGATTTTAGTCCATAGAAGGCTGACTTTACTACTCTTGAACCAAGATGAAGTTGGACATCCTGGTGGAAGTGCTTGAAGGAGGAAAACAACTCAGGACATGGCAACCAGGAAGCATGGAGAACTGGGACAAAATATAAACCCAAAGACAGGGACTGGGGATATGGCTCAATTGGTAGAGTGCTTTCCTTGCATGCACAAGGCCCTGGCTTCAATCCCCAGCACCACAAAAAACAAAACAAAAATCCAAAGACAGGCCCCCAGTGACCAATCTCCTACAGCAACACCCTACCTGCCTATAGCCACTGCCCCATTAATCCAATCAGTGAATTAATTTCACTGATTAGGTTTAGTTCTCATGACCTAATGGTTTCACCTCTGAAAATTTTTGCATTGTCTAATTCTTGAGCATTTGGGGGATACCTCCTATCTAAACCATAACAATGTATATTGTGAAAATTGACCTTTTCTTTCAAAAAACAGTACTATGTGGTGTTTCTTTTACTGCTTCACTTAACTGTTGAGAGTTTCTTCAAAAAATGCACTAGAGTAGGACATTCTAAATTGTGACATACAGCAAACAGCTGTAACTGTCTAGGTTCTCACCAACTGCAAGGTTACCAAGTCCTTTGGACATTTCTGTCCTCATCTTGCTTGACATCTCACCAGTTAGTGACACAGTTGGTCATTTTCTCCTTTTTGAAATTTCTCTTACTTAACAATGTCACACCTTCTGTTTTTTCCTACCTCTCTATGTGGCCTTTGGTGTCTTTGATGACTCCGCATTTTGTGATTTTCGAAAGCAATGGGTTTGGACCCTCTGTCAATTTGTAAATCTATATGCTATCTATATGTCCATGACTCCTAAATTTATAACTCTAAATAACATACTTCTGTTCTTCAGATTCATATACCTGTCTACTTCACATCCTGTTTTGATATATCACAGACATCTCGTGCTTGTTCCAAGTAGAATTGCTGATTTTCTTATCATCTTTCAGATTGTTTCTTTTCTTTTAAAAAAATATTTATTTTTTAGTTGTAGTTGGACAAAATACCTTTATTTTATTTATTTATTTTTATGTGGTACTGAGGATTTAACCTAGTGCTAGGTGAGAGCTCTATTGCTGAGCCACAACCCCAGCCCAGATTGGTCTTTTCTTTTTGAATAAAAACAAAACAAAACAACAACAACAACAAAAGACTACCTTTCTCTACCCAATTCTTCATGCCAAATTTGGTCTTTGATATTGTCCTCTTTCTCAACCTCTCCCTATCAAATTCATTACAAAGTCATGTTGAATTTTCTTCTGAAATATATTCCTAAGTAATTCTTTTAATGCATCTATTGGTGATGAACCATCTCTTTTGTTTGTCTGAAAAATGTGTTTGCTTTTATATTTAAAACATATTTGGGGTTGACAGTTATTTCCTTTCAGTTCATTAAAGTTAGTTTTTTTAAAAAATATAATTTTTAGTTGTTGATGGGCCTTTAATTTATTAATTTATTTATATGTGGTGCTGAGAATTGAACCCAGTGCCTCACACATGTGAGACAAGTGCTTTACCACTGAGCCATAATCCCAGCCCTGAAGATAGCTTTTTATTACTGCCTTTTGGCTTTTATTGCTACTGTTGAGAAATAATATATTAGTCTGTTGTCCCTTTGAAGGTAGACTTTCTGGTCTAAATTAGATGCTTTTATATTCTTTTTAAAAAAAATTTTAAATTTTATTGAATTATATATGACAGCAGAATGCAGTTAAATCCATATTACACAAATAGAGCATAATTTTTCATGTCTCTGGTTGAACACAAAGTAGAATCACACCATTCGTGTTTTCATACATGTACTTAGGGTAATGATATTAGTCTCATTCCACCGTCTTTCCTACCCCCATGCCCTGCCTTCCCCTCTGCCCTATCTAAAGGTCGTGTATTCTTCCCATGCTCCCCCCTCTCCATCCCCATTATGAATCAGCATCCTTATATCAGAGAAGACATTCGGCATTTGTTTTTTTGGATTGGCTTACTTCACTTAGCATTATATTCTCCAGCTCCATCGATTTACCTGAAGTTGCCATGATTTTATTTATTTTTAATGCTGAGTAATATCCCATTGTGTATAGACCTACCACATTTTCTTTATCTACTTTTGTGTTCTTTTATTGAGTAAAATAATTTTTTTCCCTTTGCTAGTCATCTGTCGTATGATCATTGGCAGTTTGGAATGTTAGCTTTTAAATTATATTGTCTAGTGATTTGATAAATATTATTTCATTTAAACATTTTGAAATTTTTAATTTTTTTTTTCTTGGTGATGCTGGGGATTGAACCCAAGACCTGTGCATGTGAGGCAAGCACTCTACCAACTGAGCTATGTCCTCAGACTGAATTTTTTTATTTCTGTTTATTGAAATAAGACAAAATAAATTTTACAGTTGTAGATGGACAAAATGCCTTTATTTTGTTTATTTTTAAGTGTGCTGAGGAGCGAACCCACTGCTTCATGCATGCTAAGCAGGTGCTCTACCACTGAGCTAAAACCCATCCCGAAATAAGACTTACAGTGAGTTTACATAGTAATAAAAATGGCAGAAAATATTATTGATGTAACTTAATAAGCCGATTTGGAACAAATAAATGTTTTATTAAGTACACTTTTAGAAAGTTTTTAAACTTTTTGACATTTCTTAAGATAATATCAAGAATACTGTCCACTGACTGAATTATTCTTCTTTACAGGTTATGTCGCTTAAAAAAGAAAGCACAGGCAGAAGCAAATGCCACAGCTATCAGTAATCTCTTGCCATTTATGGAATATGAAGTACATACTCAGCTAATGAATAAACTAAAACTCAAAGGAATGAACGCTTTGTTTGGACTAAGAATCCAGATCACAGTGGGTGAAAATATGTTGATGGGCTTAGCAGTAAGTTTAGAAACTTTTGGTTTTATGATTTCTATTGTTGTAGTAGATTCTGTTTTATAGGAGTCAGTCTTTTAAAAAAACTTAGTTGAAGAAACTACCATCAAGACCTGCAATGGTTGGGGCATTTTTAGGTAGGGAAGACTCTGGTGTAGGTTTTCACATATTTTAAAGGGACTGTAACCATAATCATAGTAGTTAAATATCTAAAAATTATCATTTTTAACTTATTAGTAAGTTGACCACTGTGGATCCAGATTTTATTATTGTTTACAAATTACTGAAACAGGGTTTTTACCTCTTGGCACTGTTGACATTTGTGCAGGGTGACTCCTTGTTTCTGGGTGCTCTCTTCTTTATTGTAGATGTTAAGCACCATACCCACTGTATGCTAATGCACCCTTCTAGTTCTGATAACCAAACATGTTTGCAGACATTGCTAAATGTTTTCCTGCCTACTGTTAGAGAAGTAAGCTTTATCATAAACTTGTACCTATGGCTAACAGTGGAATGTGTAATAAAATATTTGTATGTATATCTTTTTTTCCCCATGCAGGGGATTGAACTCAGGGTCTTGCATATTCTAGGCAAACTCTCTACCACTGAACTACACTCCAGCCTTTTAACTTTTTATTTTGAGATAGAGTTTTGATAAGTTGCCCAGGCTGGTCTCAAACTTGTGATCTTCCTGCCTCACTTTCCAAGTAACTAAGGCTACAGGCGTGCACCATCATGCCTGGCAAAATGTGTATTCTTAAGTGCCAGTAAAATGTGAGACTGGTTAAAACTCTGTTTCCACTTCATGTTCCCCTTGTTTTGTGAGAAAATGAGTTCTGTCTGGAAAGATATCAATGGAGAAAGTTAGTGCTACTTTTGTAAATTGCAAAGGACCCAGAGAAGTATGTGTTTGCAAAACATAATGATCATAGGAATCTAATCAGTATTTTTGGAAATTCTTTTGTTTTCTAGATACTTTGCTAGTCAGGATTTTTGTCTGTGTCACTGGCAATTTTCAAATTTGAATTCTCTTGGCATCTTTCTAAGACATGCATAGATGTTTAATTTTAAGAAATTTATGGAACTTGGAATTTTTTTTAGTATATCTTTTTATTTTGTAGATAAAATGCCAAATTGCTTACTATTTCATGTGTCTTTTCTATAAGAGCAAATATATAAATTTTTGTATGTAGGGGAGAATTGTTTTATAATATATAATTGTTTTATAATAAATGTACTTATTAGGTATCATAATTTTTTTAGCAATAGAAATTTGTAATAATGAAGTTAATCTGGTTTACATTAAGATACTTGATGTTTAGAGTAACTAGAGAAAAATGTTTAATTCAGAGGTCTAAAAATTTGCATGCTTGGCAAGACTGTAACATAAATAAGTAATTTGGGCTGAATACAAGACTAGCAATTGATGAATACCTATGGGAACTAAGAACTGGATTCAAATTTGAAGGTTTAAAGACTAATAACTAAACCAAACATTTCTGATGGTTGAGTCCTACGGAACCAGTTTATGTCCCTGGTATAATTTTAACTTTGACTCAAATACTGATTTTCTGGTTTCATACTCACGTTTCCCTTCTTGATCATTAAGTGACATTACAGCTATTTGATATTTTGTTCTTTGTGCTGTTTTATATTTTCTCTACTTAAATCTCAAGAGTAGCTTCTATAATAGCTAATACTCTCATGAGTGTCTGCTAGGTGTCTGGTCCTGCCTGTGCTAAACTAGAAGGAATGTAATACTGTCTTCACTTTATGAGAGAAAAGTACAAATGTTATTATAGGTTGAGACTACAAAGTGTTATGGTTATGTGTGCTGGAACTGGACTGCAAACAGCCCAGTACTCAACCATTCAAGGCCATTGCCTCATTAATGAATAGAGCTAAGAAAGTTGCTGTGCTACAGCTTCATGTAGCATAGTAGAGGTTCTGCAGTTGAGCATCAGACACTGGGTTATGGGTGTGGTGATGGATGCCAGTGAACAAGTCAATAAAGAGCATTCCTGAGATCAGTTTGGTCTGCTCAGACTTCATTGTAGGCTGCCATGCCCCTTTTAGGGTGGATTTTGACAGAATTGTCAATTGATTAGTTAAAAATTAATTAAAAATTCAAAATATATAAATATTCAAAGTCAAAAGAATTATCTTCTCTTTCCCATTCTGCCTCTTCGATTTTAACAATTTGCTATTTATACTTCTTATTTTGTTGCTCTGTGTATAGTAGCATAAACATAAACATATATGTAAATCTCATCTTGTTATTATTTTCCATAGTAGTTTTCCAGTACTGATAGTTTGTGGTAACTATTTTAAGAGTCTGAAATTAATAGTTATTTAATTAAGTATTTTAAATAAATCTACATTAAATAAAAAAAATTGTGGCAATTATGGTTATATAGTGAAATTTTCTTGAGTTTCTCAGTGAGAAATACCTGGATTAAATTTCTTTACATTTATTGAATGTGATCTTAACTAAGTGCAATGTCCTGGACTTCAGGGTTTTTTAAATTTCTTAACTTGCAAAACTTTCCCTTTTACTTTGCCACTGTTAAAAGTTGATTGTCAGGTCTGGGATTGTGGCTCAGAGGTAAAGCACTTGCCTAGCATGTGTGAGACACTGGGTTCCATTCTCAGCACTGCATATAAATAAATAAATAAGATAAAGGTCTGTCAATAACTTTAAAAAAAAGTTAATTGTCTGGCTTGGGGCTGTAGCTCAGAGGCAGTGTGCTTGCCTGGTATGTGTGAGGCACTGGGTTTAATCCTCAGCACTGCATAAAAATAAATAAAATAAAGGCATTCTGTCCATCTGCAACTACAAAATTTTTTTTTAAAAAAAGTTGATATTATACTCATTCATCAAAAAAAATTTGTAGCAACTTTTTAGTTATTTATTACTATTGTCCTTTTTTATGCAGCTTATTTTTTATACTTACAAAGTAAAAACTTAAAAAAATACTGTGGTGTATGCACTGAAAAGTAAATTTCCTCTTTCACACTGTATGTGTCTCATCTACCCAGGATCCTTCTCAGAGGAAAGCACCTCCTGTTATGAGTTAGGCTTTAGCATGCCCTTCTAGAGATGGCCTGTGTGTGTACTGATGCTTTATTGTGTTTTCTTACAGAACACAGGATCACATTCCTAAATATGAAACCTTTTTTAAATATATATATATTTTAGTGGTAGATGGACACAGTATCTTTATTTTATTTTTTTATGTGGTGCTAAGGATTGAACCCAGTGCCTCACTCAGGCTAGGCGAGTGCTGTACCACTGAGCCACAACCCCAGCCCTAAATATGAAAACTTAAAGACCATAATTCTTAAATATTTTATCTGATTATTTCTCTATTTTGCAAGTCTGCCACAGGTGTATATTTAGCGGCTTTACCAATGCCTGGTGGTATTCAGATTGCTGGGAAGACTCCTAATGATGGTTCATATGAACAGCATATCTCTCATATGCAAAAGAAGATAAATGATACAATTGCTAAGAACAAAGAATTATATGAAATCAATCCTCCAGTAAGTAAAACAATTCTACATTGTAAATACACTGCTTATGAGTAGGTCATCTTATTTTGGATTTTTTTTTTTTTTTTTTTGGTGGAGGGGAGTTTGAGGTCTCACTACATTGCCCAGGCTGGTTTTCAACTCCTGAGCTCAAGTGATCCTCCTACCTCAAATTCCTGTGCAGCTGGGACTATAGGTGTGTGCTACTGTGCTTGATTTAGATTTGCTCTCTTTTTTTACTTGTTCTTTCACTTCCCTTAACATCTTTACACAAATGTTTCCTTTTTGAGAAGTCCTACACTGACCACTGTATTTAAAATGCAATTCTGCAAACCATTTTTGGTGCTTTCTCTCATCCTTCTATGTTTTGTTGTTTTCTGTAACTCTTTTCTGTGTGTGGATGTGACTTTTTGACACACACTCACATGCAGGCAAGTTTTTAATTTTGTCTGTTGCCTGTGAAAACCAGTGGAATGAAGCTCCATCAGGGCTGTATTTCTGATACTTAGAAAAGTTCCTTGTAGTAGCTTCTTAATAAATATATTTTTTTGCTTAAGATTATAAATGGTCTTTATTTTAATAAAAAGAAAGTGTTTATGGTAAAAGTGGAAAAGGAGATATTTCATTACAGCTGCTTTTTTACAATTTGCTTGTCAGTCATTTTCATAGTCAGTTTTCTTGCTAAGTTTGCCGTAAGTATCACAGTGCTTCCTCCTCTACAGATGCCTTTTCATTAGTGTGAATTGAAAGAAAGATGTTTTGGAGTTAGAATGCAACTGTTTTTATGAGTCTCTGATATGAAATACTTCCACAAAGGGAATATTTTGGATAGAAAAATGGACCACATATTTTTTGTGGTCTTCTACAGTAGTACATCTGAATTCTAACTTCAGACAGATAGCTTTTGTCAGATTAGCAAAATTGTGAAGTTGAGAGGAATTCTAAGGCTAATGCCTAGAGCTGTGCTGTTCAGTGTGGTAGCCACTGGGGCACTTGTTGTGTGATGAGTCTGACTGAGATCTGTTCCAAGCGTAGAGTACACACTGAATTTTGTAGACTTAATTTAAATATGAATGTAAAATATCTCATGAATATTTTTTTATTCATTACATGTTGAAAATTTAATATTTTGGATATATCAAGTTAAAATCTTTTATTAAATTGATTTCATCTTTTTTATTATACATCACAATAGAGGAGTGCATTACATTCATAATTTTTTTTTGCATTACAATTCTTAATACACCTTAATTATTATGAATTATACTGCTATAAACATTGATGTGGCAGTGTCCCTGTAGTATGCTGTTTTTAGGTCCTTTGGGTATAGTCCGAGAAGAGGAATAGCTGGGTCAAATAGTGGTTCCATTCCCAGCTTTCCAAAGAATCTCCAGACTGCTTTCCATATTGGCTACACTAATTTGCAGTCCCACCAGCAGTGTATGAATGTATCTTTTTCCCCACATCCTCGCCAACACTTGTTGTATGTCTTCATAATGGCTGCCATTCTTACTGGGGTGAGATGGTATTTTAGAGTAGTTTTGATTTGCATTTCTCTCATTGTTAGAGATGATGAGCATTTTTTCCATAAGTTTGAGAAGTGTCTTTTCAGGTCTTTGGCCCATTTATTGATTGGATTATTTGTTTTTTTGGTTCTTATCTTGTTGAGCTCTTTATATACCCTAGAGATTAGAGCTCTATCTGATGTGTGAGGGGTAAAAATTTGTTCCCTTTATTGTGTGACTTGCTTTATATTTCTGTTGGGCAACACCGACTTAGAGCTTCTCTCAGTTGAATCAAAATGTTGATATGTTAATATACTAATACTTGAAAAATAATCTTTGTAAAAACTCTCATACTCTACCATATGTGTATGTGTATATATATATATATATATATATATATATATATATATACCATATGTGTGTGTGTGTGTGTGTGTGTATATATATATACATATATATATATTAGTTTTCACACATATATATTTTAGTTTTCAATGGACCTTTATTTTTTATTTATTTATATGTGTGGTGCTTAGAATTGAATCCAGTGCCTCACACATTGCCAGAAAATCACTCTCTCCCACTGAGCTACCACTCTACCCAGACTCCTCTTACTCCATCATAATGAATGATTGTTAGCTATACATTTTTCTTTTGTAATAGTATTTTGATATTTGAACATCTATTTGTAGTGTTTATGCCAGTTGGGGAGAAAGCCTTGTAAGTTAAATCTTAGAGCCCCATTTGTTTTGTATTTATTAGTTCTAATAAGTTGAATTCATTACTAAACAGTGCTTATCATTTTTTTTAAATCCATTCTGACCTGCCACAAAATAATAACTCTTCCTCCATTGTGTTCCTGTTATACTGTAATGTCTGCTAGTAAATTGCCTATTACATGTTATTGTCTATCTTCTTTTAATATAATATAGTCAGCCTTCTATATCCATGGTTCAAACATCTGTGGAATCAGCCAACCTTAAATTAAAAATATTTGAAAAAAAAATTATAGCTGTACTGAAAATATATATCTTTTATCTTCTTCTTATTCCCTAAACAACACAGTATAACAACTATTTGCATATCATTTACATTATATTAGTTATTATAAATAATTTAGAAATAATTTAAAGTATATAGAAGGTACTGGGGTTGTTGCTCAGAGAGAGAGCAACTGCCTACCATGCACAAGGCCCTGGGTTCGATCACCAGTGCTGCAAAGGAGAGACAGAGAGAGAGAGAGAGAGAGGGAGAATGTGAATGAATGAACACAGAAGGATATTGTAGGTTATATGTAAATACTGTGCCATTTTATATAGGGGCTTGAACATCCACAGATTTTAATTAATCTTTGAGGAGTCCTAGAACCAACTCCCTAAAGATACTGAGGATGACAATATAAGCTCCTTGAAGACAGAGATGTAATTAATTGAGTGTGAATTAGGTTACTTTATTCAGTAAGTACTTATTGAATTGTTATTACATGTCATACAGCTTATATTTTGAGAAGGGAGTGAGTCTGTCACAATTAAAAAAAATCAGCATATATGGATTTTGTGTATTGAGGATGACTATATTTGCATAAAAGTGTTCATCAATTTATGAATCTGCTAATATGTCCTTATTTCAGATACTAATTGCATTATAATCCTTTAGAGTAACATCTCAGTTGTTTGACAAACTTAATAAACAAAATTAATTACCAGGCCACCGTATACATTATAGTTTTGTCTTTTTTAATTGTGTACAGCAGTCAATATATTCCCATCCTGAAAATATGGATCAGTGTGCCCCTTTTTAGGATAATAACCCCAGATGTGATGATCATTTGATTTTTTTTTTCTTAATGCACTGAAAAATGTTTCTAATGTTGAGATGTAGTACCACTTAATCAAACTTTAAGATAAGGTATTAGAATAAGATACAAACTTTTAGAATACTAGTATTAGTGATGAAACCTCAATATGAATCTTAAATATATTAAGTACTAGACAGTTATATTTATTAGATTAATGATGTAGTGATCAGAGGTATAATTCTCAACTACTATGAAATCATAAAAAGAAATGCATCTAGTGAGAAGAACATTGCACTAAGAAAAAAAAAGAACTATTTTAAACAGGGTCTTTACCTAGTCTTCAGACAGGCAAATATCTTTACCCTGAATTGCAGTGATTTCTTTTATTGTGTGTGGTTCTGGGGATTGAACCTAGGGGTACTCTACCTCTAAGCAATACCTCCAGCCTTTTTACTTTTTATTTCGAGACAGGGCTTCACTAAATTGCCAGGGCATATGCCACCAGGTCTGGCTCTTTCTCATTTTGTGGTCATTATATTGTGCATCTTATCAAATTTATATAGGACAGGTTAATTTGAAATGCAAATAAAATAAATGGATGTGAAAGTACTCCATAGATTATTATGTTATGAAACTGCAGTGGTCATCTTTTGTTTAAGATGTGTACTAGAAATGAACATTTAAAATTCTATTTTTGAAAAACTTTTACTTATAATTTCCTTGATTTTGTAAGATAGCTCTGGTATACCAATGATAGGCCTGTGCTCACATGTCCTCATTTTTCTGTTAATTCTTTGTAGCCAATAGTGATTTAGAATCTTTTGTAAGATCATTGACTGAGTAATAGGGAAAATCTTACTAATCCATGTGAGATTTCACTATATACTTATTTATTATCATTATTATAGCTATTAGAATTTATTTAGCTTAATAAGTTGCACAGCAAATATATGCATAAGTACATGTGTATATGTGTATTTGTTCACATATTCATGTTTCTGATACTTAACACCTTTGAAAATTACCTCTGGGTAAAAAAGGATATAAAAGGTGAGTAACTATTTTGGGAAATATTTCTTTGAATATTTATGGATAATTAAGACTTTAAAATGCTAAGTAGAAAATGCACATAGTCAGGAGTGATGGATTTCTGAGCTTATTTTAAAGTCCTCTCTGTCAGTTTTGCTTATCTCTGTGACAGTTATATATTTCTAGGTTGGTTCATCAGTAAGGCTGTAATTATGGATAAAAAGAAATAACTATATCCCCTATAAATAGCTAAGAAGGGTATACTTAAATATAGAGTTAATTAAATATATTTAGCAGATTTTTTTTCTCTGCTTGGAAGTTGTGTATTAGTATGAAAGTTTAAAATCAGACTGAAAAATATAGCCTCATGTGATATAAAGCAATTATATTTCCTTTAGGAGATATCTGAAGAGATTATAGGATCACCCATCCCAGAACCTAGACAACGCTCACGACTTTTAAGATCTCAGTCAGAAAGTTCTGATGAAGTTATGGAATTAGATCTTTCACATGGGAAAAAAGATGCTTTTGTTTTGGAGGTAATATTGCTTCTAGCTTAATTCTTAAAGCTTTCAGAGATTGTACACTTTACAATTAGATACTAAATTGATGTGTTATTACAACTGATAAATATCAGTAAAGTTTCATTATAGAAATTGGACAAACCTGAAAATAACAGAATTTAATGACTGATGGAATAATGCATTTACTCCTGAAACAATTAGTGTATGGGTTGAAATAATACGAAAATATAGATTGAATGTTTCTAATCCAAAAATCTGAAGTGCTCTGAAATCCAAAGGAAAGGAAACTAAATGAGGGTGCAAGTTGAGAGAGAAAAAGTCAGATGTTTTGATCTCAGTGAAGCTGGAAGCTGGTGGTAGAATTATGTTGGGGTAGAAATGGAGATTGAGAGTCTGTGTTGGGAACAGTGCTTCAGATGTGGGCAGAGGACTGAAAGAAAAGGGGAGGATTCAGTAAGAGACTGAAGTACAAAGAAATTATGGTTGGAGAATACGTGAGATCTTGCAAATGGAGCATTTAGGGAACAGTGGGTTGAGGTATGGCAGTGGGTATCTAAGCTGTAGTGGGACTGAAAGTGAGTTCGTTCCAAGTTTGATGTGAGGGGAAGGTCTTTGGGATAGGGTTATATAGGTTAATGTCAATATGTGTCCAGGTAGTTATTTTCACTATTATTCACAATGCAAAGGTTGTGAAAGAAGAACACTATGATTTAATTTATATATACTTATTTTAGATATGCATTGAAATTTTACCCTATTTAATTCCATTAAAAAGCAATTCTATATTTGATGAAAATATTCTTCTTAATTACAGAGAGATAATGATTGCTTACTTTTTTTTGAAAGTCTTTTGAAACATATTCTTATAGAAGCTTGAGAAAAGTCTGAGTTAAAAAAACTTATTCTAATTAGGATCCCATTCTTGTGGTTGTACATGGTGTTTCACTGGTGGTGTATTCATATATGAACATAGGAAAGTTATGTCAGATTCATTCTACTGTCTTTCCTTTTCCCACTCCCTTCCCTTCCCTTTATTTCCCTTTGTCACTCCACTGAACATCTTCTATTCTTCCTCTCCCCAAATTGCATTCTAAAGAACAAATAAATAAAAGAAAAAGAAAACATTAATTTAAAAATTTTGGAATAATTATGCATTCACTGCTAATATGACAACAGTTTTAATCTTTCTGTTTTCAGATTGATGACACTGATGCAATGGAAGATGTGCATTCTCTCCTTACTGATGTTCCTCCTCCTTCAGGTGAACAGAAGAAATTGAGTTTGAGATAAAAATAATTTTATGTATCAGCGTTTTAGTTCATGATTGTTAAGCGTATTAACTTTATTGTAAAGGTGTTATCATAGTGTGACATTCTGTCATATACTTTGTTTCTTCAAGGCTTAAAACACATAACTTAAAAATACTTGTGTTAGAACTTAGGTACAACTGATTTTAAATACTTTTATGTTTATATATGAAAACATCCCTGTAATTATTAGGATAGTTAAAAGGTTTTTTGTAGGTAGAGAGTTTAGAAAAAAGAATGAAAAGGTTTTACAGTTGGAATTTCATATAATTAAAAAAATGTTATTCTTTAACATAAAATCAGTAATATTATCATGTTTTAATTATAATTTATTTTGGCAGGCTTTTATAGTTGCAATACAGAAATTATGCCTGGTATAAATAATTGGACATCAGAAATACAGGTAAACCCTTTATTAATTTTAAGCAGATAGCACATAAGTTATTTAATAAGTTCATCTAAGTATCTATTTTTTTTTTGACATTGCTTTTGACCTTCTTTGCCATTAAAAGGACTATTCTTTTTCATAGCATATTAATTATTATTGTTTGCTATTTGGCACTTTTATCAATTGTTATAGTATGTAGTTAAAAATCATTAAATGACGTGCTATTCTGTCTTTCCACATTTAGATGTTCACATCAGTAAGAGTAATCAGATTAAGCAGTCTTAACCTGACTAATCAAGCTCTCAATAAGAACTTTAATGATCTCTGTGAAAATTTACTCAAGGTAGGAACCTTCTGACTAAATTTTATTTAAAGGCCTTCAGAATCTTGACGTTACACAGTTGTAGGCTGCATTGTTTTTATATACCTAAAGATCATATCTCTGTCAGCAGGTGGGATGCTAAAGTTGTCCTCTTTTTCTTAAAAGCAGTTTAAATTAGTTAATGGCTTAAATCTCATTAAAAAATCTGGTATATATTTGTAAATTTTGAAAAGCACATTATTTTTTATTATTAAATCTTATTGTTTATTTAAACATTAAAAATTTATTCTTGCTCAGCACAGTAGCACATGCCTATAATCCCAGCTACTCTAGAGGCTGTGACAGGAGGGTTACAAGTTTGAGGCCAGCCTACGCAACTTAGTAAGACCCTCAGCAATTTAGTGAGAACCTATCTCAAAATAAAATGTAAGAAGACCTTGGAATGTGGCCAGCTTAAAGAAAAAAAAGTATTCTTAATATTATACAAACAGAAGTGGGACAGTTTTATTTTACTCTTTTTAAATATTTTTATTTGCCACAATGTAGTGTACATTGACAAAATCAGCTTTTATAATTTTTAAAAATGAAAACAAAGTGACATAACTAATATTTTCTGTTGTGTAGAGCCTGTATTTTAAACTACGATCCATGATCCCCTGCTGCCTTTGCCATGTAAATTTCACAGTATCTCTGCCTGAAGACGAATTAATTCAGGTAATTAACATTCAATCTATTATTGAAGATTTCTAGCTTTTATCAGATTTGTTTTAATATTTTTTAAATTTTTTTTTAAAATTTATATATGACAACGAACGGAATGCGTTACAATTCTTATTACACATATAGAGCACAATTTTTTGTACACATATCTCTGGTTGTGTACAAAGTATATTCACACCAATTTGTGTTTGCATACATGTACTTTCGATAATTATGTCCATTACATTCCACCATCATTTCTAACCCCATGTTGCCTCCCTTCTCTTCCCATCCCTCTGCCCTATCTAGAGTTCATCTATTTCTCCCATGCTCCCCCTCCCTACCCCTTGTTTTAATATTATAATTTTGCCATAATTAAATAATTTAAACACATACTGTTTTACCTCAATATTTAAAAAAAATATGTCAGTTTTGTTTTTCTGAACTCTGATTATCTGAAGGTGGACTTCATATATGTGCTCCAGCATGTGAATAATAGATGAGTGCTTATTTTGTGGGATTTCACCAATCCCCATCTGTTAGAGAAGTTCCTGAGCTCTTTCTGGAACATCTAGCTATACAAATTGGGCTTAGTATAGTAGTTAGAATATCTGAGTTTATATATAATTCTCATTTGGAATCTTAACCAGGAAAGGCAAATTAACCAATTGACATAGGTTGTTTTCATGATATGGAAAACGATTTTTATGAAGTTTAGTTTTGGCAACAATTATTTTGCTAATCATAATTGTTTCTGCAATTTTAGGTCACAGTCACAGCAGTTGCAATAACTTTTGATAAAAATCAGGCTTTACAGACCACAAAACCACATGTTGAAAAGTCACTACAAAGAGGTAAACCTTTAATGGATGGGAAGTATAGTTCATGATTGTCTGCATTACAATTCAGTGATAAATATAAAGAGCAGGTAGGTTAAATGACTTTTTTAATTGAAGAGATATTTACCTCATTTTATTGAGGTAACTGGATAAACATGGCTGACTTGATTGTTTTTTTACACATGACTGAGTGATTAACTGGTATTCACATAGGGAATGCTGCTGTTTTTAGACTTGAATGATATCATGTGAATTCTGTAGTAATTTAGGGGTTCCATGCCAAGATCTCTGGTGAGGTCCTCAAGGCACCTGAGAATTAATTGATACAGTAAGCAAAATTGTGACCCTGTTTTTCTCAGGAAAATTTTAATTATAAACAGATTCTCAGACATGTCCTTAATCCAATAAAATTTAAGAAGTGCCATTCTTAAGATATTCCAAAGAAGCTGAATTATTAGAAATTGATATTATAAAAAAAGAAATATCTGGGGAAGAATATAATGCTTTCTAAAGTTTAAATGACTTATTGACTAACTAAAATATTCATGATTAACCTGAATGTTTTAAAGTTGATTTAAATCCCACATAGATGAAATTGATAAGATTTGATCATTGAGTTAATTTCAAATAGATGTATTAAATGATTATGTGTTCAGATATTTATTGGATAAATTAAATAATGGCTGTTTTAAGCATCATATAAACTAGTAAGTTACACTATACAAGAGAACAATAATTGTTATTGAATGCTTACTATTTACAAGCCAGTGTGCTAAATGATTTATAGGTATTAATTAATCTTTTAAAATTTGACAACCTTCCCATCAGGAAAAGCAGCACCTCTTTCAACATCATGCAGGTGAAAGATACCCAGGGAAGAAACCAGGGATGAAATAGCCAGTATACATTTTGTGGGGGTGAGAAATATAACATGCACGTACACGTGCATGTGTGTGCATGCACACTCCCACACTCCCACAGAGTAGATATGCGGTTGCAAGTTCTTAATTTCTTAAAAAATCATAATAGATCAGTGCTAAATAACTATTGTTTTTCTTTCCTCTCCAGCTTCTACAGATAATGAAGAACTTCTGCAGTTTCCACTGGAACTCTGTTCAGATTCGCTTCCTTCACATCCTTTCCCACCATCTAAAGGTTGGTTAAGTAAGAAATTCAAATGCGAATCCAAGTTATAGTGCTTTCACTTTCCTCATTATAGTCAATCTTTCTTAATCTTGAGATTTATCCTTCATTTCTTCATTATGTGTTTCTCCATGTTCATTAACAGGAGAAAGTAATACTCATTTAATTTCTCAAGTAATTTCACCATAAGTTATTAAGGTAATTTTTTATATGATATTCCATTCTCAGACCTCAAATATATCAACATTTTATTTTTAAAGATTTGTACTTCATAGTATAACTTTTCACATGTAGTGTATTTGATATTTGTATTATATTTGGTAAGTTTTTTGTCCAGAAATAACCAAAAGTTTCAGACATCAGAATGCCTCAGAGGATAAATGGAAAAGTTTTAGGGTAGTACAAGGGAGACAGGGATGAACTTCCTGTCATATGTTAACTTTTGCTATAATTGAAGAACATTATTATGTATTTTTAAGACACTGCTGTTTTTTTAAGTGCAAAACAATTATCTGTAAATTTAATAGCAGTACATCTATTTTGATCTGTATAATCTTTGGAGAAAAATGGGAGATTTTTCCCATTTCTCTTCTGATTTCAGTGTAATTTTTAAAACTTTTCAAAACTATCATACCTAATTCTACACTATATAATCTTAATAAATGTAGTTTGCATTTTTTATAAATGCTTTTTCTGAGAAATGATGCATTTTTTATTTAAAGTCAAATATATTCTATGTTTATATTCTGTAACACAAGTGAAGTTGTTTTGTGATTCCTACTTGTTAATTATTTTATCTCATATCAAATTATGTGTAAAATAGTTTTATGTTCACTTTGCATATGTATCAGTAGAATCTTTACAAACCAATTCAAGGTTTATCTGTAGATAAATGGATTGTGACTTACATTTTGAAGATGAAAATATAAACTATTATTAGATTCTGAGCTTTCTAACCTAGTAACTTCGGTCATATTTTCTTTTTGTCCTCACCTAAAATTCTAATTTAGAACTCCATGAGAATTTTAGCATATCTCAATTTCCTTGAAAGAATAGAAAGGAAAAATCATATTTAAAGAATATGCTAAGTTCATATTTCTGAATTAAAAATAATTTCCCAAACAAAACATTATTGTCAAGATTCTTTCTTGAATCATTAGATAGCAAGTTTTATTTGTTTTAAAACACATATATTATAGGGAAACTTGTATTTTACATAGGGTTAATTCCAAATGACTTTTAGGTGTCATTTCATTAATCCTTACCCTACATTGTGGCAAAAACCCTCCAAGGCCTAATCAACACAAAAAGATTTGATTGCTCATCTCTAGAAACAGATATTTGTGGAGTCAGGCTATATTAGCTCAATGTTACCATATTATTAATACAGAAGATTAAATTGTAAGTTTGCCTTATTTGTATTGATAGCTTTCAAAATGCTATCCAAGGTAGTTGTAACTAATGCTTATTTAGTCATTAGTGTAAGATGATACTTTGTGAACTAAAGAACGAGGTAAAACATTTGCAAATCATTTTAGTGAGCTTGGAGAGGGATCATGAATGAGGTAAAAAAGCAACAGATGTGGCCCTCTTTGCCGAACTGTGACAAGATGTAAGAATTTGGGTTAATTACTTAACCTCTCTAAGCCTCAGTTTCTTTTGTGTAAAATGTGAGAGGGTTAAGATTCTCTCCAGCCTTTAAAATTCTGCAATTACTTGGGTTTGTGTTTTATAGTTCTTCTACTATAAACATGTTAAAAACTTAAAGAAAAGTCAAAAGCTGAATTAGTGCCCAAAGTCATACTGATCTTCTATACTTGTTATTTTAAATGTTTTCAAGAAACTTCTAATCAGTTAATCCAGTAAGTTTTAAAGTCTGCTCCTCCAAACCATAGGGGTTTTCCAGAGATGCCTCAGGCTGCAAAGAAGGGTGAGGATTGAGAGGATAGATCTCTGGATGGACCTGCCTCTGAACCAGAGCAGCTTTGATTCAGTGAATTTTACACATTAGTTTTCTGTATTTTATTTGAAGAAAGGGTTTCAAAGATTTGAAAACCACTGAATCAGATCATGCTACCTTTATCATCATCAAAATTATCATGATCATCATCATCGTAATTATCAGTTTCATAATATCTAATACTAATATACATGTAAAGCTTTTTACTCTGAGTGCTTTACTATAAAACCTATGTACCTTTTGTTGAATATTGCATTTTAAAATTATTAGTAAACACCTAAAAATGCATCTGTATCTCTTCATAGTTTTATAGTTTCTAAATTGTGATTTGTGATGCATGCTTATTTATTGTCTTTGCTTCCTCGAGTTTTTTCAGGAGGACATGAGTTAAATTTGTTCTTTAAAGGTTATTTGAAAGTAATTTGGAAGAATTAAGGGTAAGATGGGTTTTGAAAAGGTCTGAAAAATGTGGTAATAGAGCCTCATAATATGAATGGAGTAATTATGTGCTTTGACATGGTAGAAAGTGTTGAAAATTTAAGCTTAGCAATTTAGAGGAATTAAGCAGGAAAGAGAAAGTTAAGAGTGTTTAGGAGTGAACAATAAAAAATGTGTCTGCTTTCTTATATGTAGCCAGAAAGCTTAAAAGTCAACTACTCATACAGATAAATTTACTAAGTTGTTTAGTTAAGCTGATAAGTTTTTTTTTTTTTTTTTTAATTCTAATAACAATGGATTCTAGTTTACATCTCATGTCTTAACTCAAGTAGGGGATTGAAAAAAATTCTTATTTTCTGGTGTGTTGACAGAGTAGTTTCAAGAGCCAAGCTTAGTATGTTTTTTAGCACTTCTGTCTTTTCACTTGTAGATAAACCTTCCATTATCTTTTTATATTATTGAAAACGAGTAAATGTTTTGTGAAGAAATGATGCTGTAGTTACATGTATCTTGGTTCATTGTGTTGAGTAAGCCTGGGCCTGAATTGTCCATCCATGTTCAATTTTTTCCCTCCATCATTTATTATATTTGGTTTTATTTCTCAAGGTACAAAAATAATTTTATGTATGTCTCAAATTTATGTTGATTTGGTGTTACCTTCCTAGTTATCTCTTTTTTTAATATTAAATGGTGCTGAGCTTCAATAATTTTCAAAAAGATATTATTCCATAAAGTCATCAAAATTCCTTACTGAATATGAATACTATGAGGAACATACATGATGTGGTATCAACATAAATTATTTATGTTCATATGAGGTTATATTATGAGAAAAAAATGACTATATCAAAATTTTTATAGTACTTTCCCCTCATCATTATTATTCATACCTTAATTTTTCTCTAAGTCATTTTCAAGATTCTTTAAAAATTATATATATAAAAAGATGAGAGAGTAAATGTAATAAGAATGGGGAGTCTGAGTAAATGCAGTCTGAGAAATACATAAAATACTAGTAGATTTTTCTCAGACTGCAGTCTGGCTAAAGAATTTTATGCATGTAGTCTTAATTTTTTTTTTTTTTAAGTTGTAGATGGGCATAATACCTTTGTTTTATTTTTATTTATTTTTATGTAGTGCTGAGGATTGAACCCCAGGGCTTTACACATGCCATACATGCATTCTACCACTGAGCTACAACTTCATCCCCTGCATATAGTTTTTAGAAAAGGTTAGCATATCACTTCAAAAGTCTAAAGACTTAAATTATACTATCATTTTACAGAGCTTATAAACTTAGATTAGACAAGTATGTATAAATCATGTACCATATATTTCAAGTACTTTATAAATATAATGTCTCATAAATTTTTATTAAACACTGATAGTTTAAATATTTTAAAAGGTTTAATTAGTATTATATGTACAAATATATGAGTGAAACCAAATAGAAGAGGATTTTTTTTAATACTCATCTTGTTTTTTGCTTTCATTTTGCTTTATGCTGGATGATTTCTTTGTGTACAGTGATGTAACTATAGCCTGACGAGTGTAGCAAGTACTGATTAGTGTCTGGCTTTTGATGTAAAAAACAACAACAACAAAAAAAACCCTAATTGATTTGTACCTGCAATGCATTGCTTTCCATAATTAGGTCTACACACTAGTAGTTTTTTTAATCCTTATTTTTATTATAGACAAGTTTGTTTTTGTTAAACCAGATTTGATTTTAAAAAGATGGTTTCATTTTAATGATCTGCCTAAGATTATTTTAAACTAGCAATTAGAAATATAAATTTCTAAAAACTATAAGAACTTTCATTTTTCCTACTAATTAATAGTTAACAAATATAATTCCTTTATACTAACTAAAAAATGTCTTTATATACTGATAACCTATTGCTTGTCTGCTGTTTCTGTTTTTGTTTTTAAAGTACTGTGTATTTTGTCATTATGACCAAATGGTAACAACAGTAAAAATAACAACTGATGTTCTCCATGTTATATTGGATGTCCAAAACAATCAGTGGCAGGCTTTGAAAGGAGAGAGATGATGAAGAGAATAAGGAAAATAGAAACCAAAATGAGGAAAATGTATGCAAATACTTAGCCAAGAAATAGGTTGGGAAGGGAGTTGATGAAGAAATAGAATACAGAGTCTTTACCTCTCTAGCTTCTTAAGGTACCTTGAGGACAGTGAAATTCAGAGGCAGAGGGATTAAAAAGCAAAGAAAAAAGTGAATTGGGCAACTGCCAGAAAACCCAAATAACTTGGAAGAGAAGCCATAAAGGGTAGTAGTAAGATGAAAAGTGGATGTATAGAGATGGAAACAGGAGCACATAAGAAGGGGATTGAAAAAGACAAGTGGCTTAGGATGTTGTACACCTTTGTACACCTTTAATCGGAAACATAAATTACCCAAATAGAGAAGTTAATTTTTTTTGGTCATCTAATGTATGTATGTATTGCCTATGTATATTGCTGTTGAATTTTTCTCTTTTGAACTACCCAAATTGAAGCTATTTCCATCTTTCTTTATACCTTAATAATTTATAACTACAGAATGGCAATTTCATTATCAATTCATCAATATTTAAGTACCCTTATGGGTAAATTTATACTGAATGTTCAGATACACCATTTGCTTTAACTTAGTCATTAAACCAGATTTTATAGTTACGAGGCATAGCCAGTCAGTGTCTTATGGATTGATGGGACTGCCTAAAGGAACATAAAACCCAATTTTGATCATAATAGCTTACTTAAAACTGAGAATGTTAAAATGGGAAAATAAAGTATAAAATTTAAAGACTCCAGATTATGTGTATTTTAATCTGCCAGAGATTCTTGTTTGTAGAATTTTTCTCAGTTTTAGGAATTTTTAAAGATGTGTATGTAAGATTGTTTCAAATACTTTTTAAAATTATTCAGAGCAAAGATGATCTTTATATTTAATGATATAAAATGAATCGTCAAAAGATTGGGTGATCTGTGTAGAAACTTTATTACAGCTGCCTTGGTCCACTTTATGTTGCTGTAACAGAATACCCAAGACTGAGTATTTTATTTAAAAAAAGACATTTATTGACTTGTTCTGGAGGCTGAGAAGTTCAATATCAAGGTATTGGCATCTGGCAAGGACCTTCTTGCTGCATCATCACAGGAAGGAAGAGCAGAAAGAGAGCAAGGAGGGGCTGAACCACCCTTTTTTAATGGTACCAATCCTTTCCACAAGAATGGAGCCCTCATGGCCTCATCCTCTCTTAAAAGTTTCTAGCTCTTAATTCTGGGGTTTTTTTTGTTTTTGTTTTTGTTTTTTTTTTTGGTACTATGGCTCGAACTCAAGGGCACTCAACCCCTAAGGCACATCACCAGCCCTATTTTGTATTTTATTTAGAGACAGGGTCTCACTGAGTTGCTTAGCACATTCACTGTTCCTGAGGCTGGCTTTGAACTCTTGATCCTCCTGTCTCAGTGTCCCAAGCCACTGGTATTACAGGTGTGCGCCACTGCACCCAGCTTAATACTATTTTGATGGCAATTAAATTTTAACCACAGTTTTGGAATAAACATTCAGACCATATTAACAGCTAGCCAATAGTTTTGAATTGGTTATAAGAAATTATTTAGAAGAATGAAGAAGTCTCAAACCTTAGAAACATTGGAGAGTATAAAATTGAAGGAGGAATAATCCTTGCCACATTTTTTTCTTTTGTCATCAATATGCTCATTACCACTAAAATGCTTTTAATCTGGGTTAATTTATCTCCGCACACCACTAGAAGTAGGGCTTCCCAGAGTGTGCTAAGAATAATTAAATTGTTGTCCTACTTACTAAGTTTCTAGGGTTATTTGAGAATGATGGGGTTTAATCTTTGTCTTTTATGAAATGGGAATAGAAATTTTGAGAGAATGGACTGCTGTATGGTTGGATTGAGGCTCTCTTTGCAGCTGGAATGGGGATCCAACATACAAAGTGCTCTTCCACATAGATATACAAATGGCACTCAACTGAGCATTAACTAATGCTCAACAAAGCCTGAATGACTTTAAATGAGATTTCTACCCTTGAATATGAAGTCTGCTGTCTTTTATTTAAAATTGATAGTGATTGCATGTTCTTCAGTTTATTTCTTTTTAACCAGAGTTACTAGTTTCTCAGTAAGTGAGATTTCTTATAACTGTGGTGCCTTTTCTTTTGAAAGGCCTATTAACTGGGAATCCTGATTTTAATGAGAAGGAACAATCATTGGGTATTTAAAGTATTCAAACTAGCCCGAGGTGCCAATCAGAGTCTATTTCCTGCCAGGATCTGCTCACCTGGAGTCTTTTCTGTTAGGAGAAAAATTAAGACCATAGGCAGTATGTTAAAATGTAACACAGCTCTTTTTAAGTGAGATTAAAGAAATTCTCATCCTTTCTCCGAAGAATGTTTCTAGTTTTAAAGCATCATTTTTTTCAGTTTTAATTCAAATGCATTTATATTTGAAGTCAGGTAATAAATACCTGCCCCTCCTCAGAGTCCCCTCTCTTCCCTACTCTTATAAATTTAGTTTTGGAAAAGTATGAATTATACATACTAAAAAGTTCAAGTAACATCAAAATCATGTAATCCAAAATAAAACTCCCTTCTCCCTTTATTTCTCTTCCCAAGAGGCAACTACTTGTAACAGTTTCATTGGTCTTCACAAAGATTCTCTTTTTATTCTTTATTGGAACACACATATTTTACAGATTATTGGGTACCTTGATTTTTCCACTTGTGACTTAGAGGTGGGAATAAATAACTACATATTTAAGTAAGTTCTGTCTATGTATTTGTCATTAAATTGTATACAATTGCTTCTGCAGATTTCTATATTACCCAGATAGTATTGAGTTATAACAGAGAATTTAATTTTAGTAATTTTTCAAAAATTATTTTAGTCATTCCTCTGCCTATGCATTAATTTTTTTTTCCATTGAATTACTATGAATTATTGTACTCTCTGTAATTCTATACTGACCAAGTCTGTACTGCCCAAGGTAGTAACCCTGAAGAACCTTTGAATTCTCCTAGAATATATAAGCCTGGGGTAGGTTCATTGCTGTCCCAGTTTCTGCATTGAGTCCATTCTTGTCCTGAACTCTCTGTAGATATGTGATAAGTCTTCCTGCTGGCCTTCCTATGGGCTCCATCTTCTCCCAGACTGCAGAGCTCCTCAAGATCCTGTATCAGGACTGTCCCCAACTAGACTTCTAGGCACAACAGTCAGGGAATGTGCACAGCATGGTACCTTCGCAGACCTTTTGTGGACCTTACCTAGTGTTCCCTTTTATTTGTTATCTATCTATCCAGAGGATTGTCTACCACTGTATACTCTCTAGTATTCGCTACTGGTCACTTGCTTATAAAATGGTGGTGGGGTTGAAAGGGAGCTTCTTCCAATTTGGAGAAATGCTATGTACAAATGACATTTTAAAATAAACTTTTATAAATTTAAGAATATTACCAAAGATCAACACATTAAGTAGAAATTAAAAAAATATATTTAATTTATATTTTTTTAAAAAACTGACTGGCCCAAATTATTCTCAGTATATTTCATGTGTCATTTCTAAATTGGCAACACTATTCTTTCATTTGTTCCATACTTTGAAACAAAAATTCAAATATGCTAGTGTGGATAGAACATGGGCCTTAAAATTGGATTATGACTTTCTTATAGTACTACTTACATTTGCATGATACCTTAATTATCTTTACTAAACATAAAATATCAGGGAAAACCTTGGATGCTAACTTCCTGAGGTGCTGGAAAGGGAGTGATTCTAGTTTGGAATTGTTAGTTATTTCTCTGAATATGAGTCAGTTTTCGTTCCACAAAGTCTTGCTACCACTAGAGGGAGCTGTTGATAGTTCCAACAAATAAAAGAGGTTCATGGTAAGGAAGGGTAGGGGTAGGAGGCAGCATGTGTTGATCTGTGAGTCATAGCGCATTACTTTGTTTGTAATTTTTAATCTTACTGGCTCTTACTCCCTACAAACATGTCTCTTCCACGTTTCACGTCAGATATGCCTCCCAACACAGTGACTCTTTGTCTAGTTTTCTTACATTCTGCTGTCATTCTACTAACATTTGTTACTGTTTATATTTTCTTATGACTATGAAGTTTCTGAAACTCATTTTGTGTTTTAGTAACAAGCAGTCTTTCTTACCATGTTATTTATTAACTGAGCTAGCTTTCATGTCAATAGAAACTACATTTTAAACCTAAATATTTCTATTTGGTTTGCTTTTATAATGAAGCCATAAAGATTTATTCCTATTCTTCTGGCTTATAGAAGATATTAACAAACAACAAAGAAGAGATGCTGGCTTGTACTTAGCATTCAAGCTAATGTTGTTCATATTGTCTTATTAGAACACCTGGAGAGTGCAAGTTCTAACTCAGGTATACCAGCCGCACAGAGAGGTGAGTTTGTTTAATTAAGCAAATAGTCACCAAAGGTGTGGAATTCTAGTTAGGTGGTGCATAAAATTTCAGACACTGAAGAAATGCACTGGACAATGGAATAGACACCACAATGTGACTTTATTGTAGTTAGCATTTGTATTTTTTATTCATTAAATATTTATTTTTTTAGCATTTTAATGGTTTCTCAATTTCTAAAAATAAAATTTTAGCTCTGACTTTTTTTTAAATTAGCAGTAGTGAATTATTTTTTTAAAGGGGGAAGTTATTAGACTCATACCCACTTCCCACCCCCTTTGTCAGAGGCTTTGTTACCAAAAATCAGGCATAGAAACAGAATATTGACAAAAATGATCCTTTAACTTTTATTACTGATAGTAGAAAGAAGATATTTTCATTCAAGATAAGTCAACTAGTAAGGATTTTTTTTTCCAAGTGTTTTCAACATTTTGATTCTTTTTATTTTTTATTTTAGGATAAAAATAGAGAAGGGGATTAGTTATAATGTTGAAATTGTAAATTAAATTCTAATAGGAATAGCTAAAATAGTTAAATAGAATGGAAAATAAAGTTATTTATGTGTGGTCCTCTCATTGCTGTTAGACCCCACTAACATTCTCCCCAAGAGACCATACAGCTGTGACATCACCAAAAATGCTCAGCCAGATGATCAAGAACTTGGTTTTGGACAAATCAGTGTCGAAAGCTTGACTCTTTACCACCTCTCTTATCTGACTTTAAAAGACCATTCTTTTTTTAAGTTGCAGTTAAATTACATCATCAGAAGGAGTGTTATGACGAGTAAGAGACGTCATCCATATTTTTTCTTTGTTTTTTCTTTTGTTTTCTGTCTGTGTTTTCAGCAACGTCAGTTGATTACAGTTCCTTTGCAGACAGATGCAGCAGCTGGATAGAGCTCATTAAACTGAAAGCTCAGACCATAAGGCGCGGATCAATTAAGACAAGTAGGCGGATGTTTCTACCACATTATGATGATCTGAGAAGCATATCCCTGATTTCGCAGTGATGAAGGCTAGACCTTACTACCTAGTATTAACATTGCCAATCAGTCGTGTGTTGGAGTGTGAAAGCTGCAGATTCTAATGGTCATGTAGGAAGAGTAAATGAAGGGCCTTTAGATTTGTTAATTTTAACAAAACAGAATTTTTTTAAAATATTACTTTTTGTGAAGGCATAACTAAAAATATATAAATAGATATGATCTCCTTCTAGATGGAAGGTAATCACCAGCTCTCTCATCAAAGAGGTAATTCTTCTAGGACCCAGCGTATTTTGTATATTGCATCTGTCAGCTTACTAAGCGATATCCAGAGGGCTAAAAGAATAAGTATTTCTGGAGAGAAAGTAATTAACTCTCATCTTACTGCTAGACTCAGTATGTTTATGTTCTTTATATATACCCCATGTGTTTTGGTAGATTTTAAAGTAACTATATTTGAGAAAAAAAAAAAAACTACATTAAAAGGGAAGGAACTACCTTTTAGAGTAATTAACAGAGGCTATGTAACCAGCCAGGTCTGGTTTTGAATTCTGGAAGTGCCAATTTAATAGCTGTGTGACCTTGGGCAAGCTATTCAATTTCTCTTAGTTTCAGCTTCCTCATGTGTAAACTGGGGATGATAATAACCTATGTTGCTGGGTTGTAAGCAATACACATACACATAATATGTCTGGCTGATAGCAGTTGTTTGGCAAGTGGTAATTATTTTGTGTTACTTTATAAACAATAACCTTTTGATGGCCAAGGTCATTTGCTAAGTTTTTTAAATTATGAGTTTGTTTAATCAAAAGGTTTGGAAAGGAAATATATACCACTAGTTAACATAAGGTTTATCTACAAGTTGACAATGATGAAGTCGTCTGAAAAAGATGGAAATAACTGTACTGGGAAATATAACAACTTTCACACTCTCTTTGTAATAATTGGTTTCTACAGCAGATAATTTAATGCTCTGCCGCTTTTTCTTTTTCTTCACTTCATAACTGATCATTGTGTGTGTAGCTACTCCGCATCAACATTTTCTTTTGCAGGAATGCCATTTTTCTTCCAAAAGAATTCATTCCAGCATTTCCTCATGTGTTTTTCTTTCTCTCTCTTTTAATTGCATGCAGTGCATGATGATTTCTTTTCTTTCATGACATGGCTTAGCCTCACAGACAGCTGAATGTTGTCACCACTTACTTGGAAACCTTAGGGAATAAGTGACCGATATGCATGACCAGTATCTGTTCTTAATGTTACCTCTTCTTTTCTTCAATTTTAGCTGTGACAGTTGAAAAAGCAAGTCCAATGGGTGAAGGAAATTTCCGGAACCGTTCTGCTCCACCTTGTACAAATTCCACAGTTGGGGTTGTTAAGATGACACCTCTTTCTTTCATTCCTGGAGCAAAAATAACTAAATATCTTGGGATAATTAACATGTTTTTTATTCGGGAAACTACTTCTCTTCGTGAGGTAATTTTACTGAGGTTATTTTGTTGGCGTTTGGATTTTCTTTGATTGACTAGTAACAAAACCAAGTTTCAAATTATAATTTTTCCCTAAAATAATAAATATACATAAGTACAAATACATATTTTACTTATTTATTTCTATTTTAATAACTTAAATATATTGATTCTGGATTAAACTAATGCATTTCATACAGTAGCTAGTATTATTACCAGGAGTTTGTGTTAGGTTTAAACACATTTGTTGTTAGAAATTCTAGATTTTTATCAAGAGCTTTATTAAATCAAACAAATTTATCTATGTTTTATTAGATTCTTATAATAGCCCTGAAAGAACAGCTTAGTGTTTTCAGTAGTTATTTGCCTGAGATACATTTAAAGAGCAATTTTTAAGGGATCACCTTTAGAAATAGTGGAGGACCATATTATAGACATGTTTATGTAGATATTTTATGTAATTTAGCTTAATTGTTTCATCCCTCTGAAAAGAGAATGGAGCTGTTCATTTTCACTCAGTAAAAAGAAATTATATTGAATCTTATGTTATAAGCAAATTAATACTGTGATATAGGGATAATTTTTAATTACTGAGGCTTGAAAGCAGGTAATTGCTTTATATTTTACTTTAGTAGCAGTTTGTACTTAATAAAGTATGCTTGTTATGGAAATGACTTAGTTGTGCTTCCCACCCCCCACCCCCCACCCCCGCCTTAGTTTTACTAGAAAAACTTCTTAGAAATCAAGCTTACAGGGGCCAGGGTTGTAGCTCAGTGGCAGAGTGCTTGCCTACCATGTGTAAGGCACTGGGTTCAATCCCTGGCACCATATGAAAATAAAATAAAAGGTATTGTGCCCACCTACAATTAAAAAAGAAAAATATTAAAAGAAATCAAGCTTGCATACTGTTTTCAATATCATGCTCACTGTCCTGCATCTAGCACAGTGTTTGGCATGGAGTAACATGATGCATTTTATGTAAATGAATGATGATTTCTGACAGATTGTTTCATTAATTAGATGGAGATTTTGAGGTAAATTATTTTTTTCAAAATCTTTATATATATTATATATAATATATATATATTTTATATATATATATATATATATATATATATATTTTTTTTTTTTTTTTTTTGTAGTTGTCGATGGACAGAATGCCTTTATTTTATTTATTTTTATGTGGTGCTGAGGATTGAACCCAGTGCTTTACACATGCTAGGCAAGTGCTTTGCCACTGAGGTACAGCCCAGCCCCAGATAAATTATTTTTTTAAATATTAAAAAAATTTTTTTTTTCTTTGCTGGGGATTGAATGCAGGGGTACTTTGGCACTGAGCGTTATATAACACTAGACTTTTAATTTGTTATATTATGATAGCAGAATGGATTTCAATTCATATTATACATATAGAGCACAATTTTTTTTATATCTCTCGTTGTACACAAAGTAGAGTCACACCATTCGTGTCTTCATACATGTACTTAGGGTAATGATGTCCATCTCATTCCACTGTCTTTCGTCCCCCATGCCTCCTCCCTTTGCCCTATTTAGAGTTCATCTAATCCTCCCATGCCCTCCCCACCCACCCAAACACATTATGAATCACATCCTTAAATCAGAGAAAACATTTGGTATTTGGATTTTTTGGCTTGGCTAACTTAACATTATATTCTCCAACTCCATCCATGACTTTTTTATATTTTATTTTGAGACAGGGTCTCGCTAAGTTGTCCAGGCTGGCCTTGAACTTGTAATCCTCCTGCCTCAGCATCCTGAGTCACTGGGATTACATACAATTATGTACCATGACCCCTGGCAAATCTGTAAGACTTTATTTTCTACATCTTCTCTACTGCATAAGCTCCTGTACCCAAAAATGTTGCTTCATAGTAGATTTCTCTTTAATGGAGACTTTACAGCACAGTATTACAGTTCTATTCACAGCCTGATAAATTATTTTCTTATATCAATGAAACTTTTTAAAATTAAAGTTCTATAGGTACTCTACCTTCAAAATTTCTTAATAGACAGAAGGAAACCAATAAGACCCACAAAAAAAACGTACTGATCTGTGATTAAGTTGGAGGCAATCTGAAACAACTCACTTAATTCCTTAATTGCAAAAAGCAAGACCTTTATAGGACTATGTAGAATGCCCTGGCTTTTTAGAAAGATGTGATTTATTAAAATGATTTTCTAACAGTGTACTCAGCTTTTCCCTTACTTCCAATTTAAAATTGGAAATTTCCTCCTAGATTTAAGTAATCTCCAGGAGAATTTCTAGAAAACAGGTGGACAAAACAGTGTAAACTTTGATTGACCTTTAATTTCTGTTTTGTTTGTTTTTTGAACATGGAAAAAATTCCCTGAACTAATGGATTTTACTCCCTAACAAATATTTATGGAATACTTATTTTGTGTACCTGTTAGGTATAAGTATATAATGTGCAAAACAGATTCAGTCAGTACTACTTATGTGATTATAGTTTATCATGGGCAGATTACAAATTCTCTGAGCTTCAGTTAAGTTTAAAGTAAGGATAGTGAATCCTCATCCAGCCATGTTTGTAATTAAGTTTTGTTTGTTCATCCATACAGTAAATCCTATGAATTTTTGCCTGTTATTAGGATAACTTGGGATGATTTAATACATAATCTTTGACATTTTATGTACATTCCTAGATACATATAAATAATATGATTATTTTGCACATTGTTGTTTAGGAAGGAGGAGTCAGTGGTTTCCTCCATGCCTTTATTGCTGAAGTGTTTGCAATGGTGAGGGCTCACGTTGCTGCATTAGGAGGAAATGCTGTCGTCTCCTATATAATGAAGCAGTGTGTCTTCATGGAGAATCCAAATAAAAACCAGGTGAGATACAATTAGAAATCTCTGATTTAGGGGAAACCTGAGAATTTCCCTTATGGCCAGCCAACGACCTCATCACCCTCCCAGAATAAAAATGCTCTTCAGATTTCTTTGATTCTAGATGCTAAAAACATAGTTTAGTGAAGTTATTAATAAGTATGGTCATATATAGCTTAGGTGCTATTCTCACATCTCAGGAAACAAGTTATTCTTAACCATTTTTGGAACTTCTGCTCCTGAGCTACTATTTCTAACATCATCTTGGTGGATATTTGGAGTACAGTGATGTCTGACTGCAGAGAGCTAAAAGTACAGGTTAGTTTATCCTGTGGTGCTGAACAGTTTTAACTGCCATACAGTGCAGGGTATATCATAATAGTTTATTTCTGTTTATACTAGTTTATTTCTGTTAAATAATGTTCTGTTCATGGGGAATAAAAAGGGTCTTACTAGGTTAAATTTATAAAATAAGGTTCTTTTATCAGTTTTTTTTTTGCATTTTTAAAAATATTTATTTTTTAAGTGTAGATGGACACAACACAATGCCTTTATTTTTATGTGGTGCTGAGGATCGAACCGGGTCCTGCCCATGATAGGCGAGTGCTCTACCACTGAGCCACAATCCCAGCCCCTCTTTTATCAGTTTTGAGTTAAGATAACTCACTTAAAATTGTAAAGGATTTATTTTTTAAGTAAATGGCTATATGAGCTGTGATAAAGGCAGTACTTCTCAACGTGCTCCTCTTGGCATACATCAAAAATCATATTATTTGAATGACATGCAGTGGTAGATGGATGAAATTCCTTATGGCTGTTGGTGATTGCTCCTCATTTCTGGCCCAGCAGAGGGGACCATTGAAAGTGATTTCACCTTTATTTTCAGTTTCTTCACAATCAGTTTCTTCTCAAGGGTGCTTCATTTACTTAACTTTCTCAACAATTTATATCTTTTTCTTATTGGAGTATATCATATTTCATTAATAGATATTGAAGAAAAAGTAATGCTGTGAGACTGGAAGACAACGTTCTGATAAATTTCAGCGATAGCTAAGGAAAGTTAGAAGGGAGAGAAGGAAGGGGACCTATCAAACATCTAGGAAATTTTTTGGTAGATAGCCAGTGTGCATTTAGGGCTCAATGAGATTTCTTAACTGAAGTTGTATATTCAGGACCAGTTTATTGATCAGATTTGGAGCCAAGTAGATTGTATAGAATAGGTAAAAAGGGTATATAGTGGAGCAGAAAAAGGTAGAAAGAGAGAGGTAGAAAAATCAGAAGACGCTAAGAACTACCTCAAGACAGATCATCTGTAAGGAGAAGAAACCAGAGAAGGGGCATCCTGATTAGGATTAATAATTTGTTGTAAACAATCTGATATAATCTGATCATGAAGAAAGCATCTATCAGATCTTAAAAATAAACCTTGTTCAACTGAACATTTCTTTACAATAATTTTATTTAGTGTAATAGGATTTCCCTAGTTCTATTGAAAAGATCCTTTCTTGCTTAATTATTTTGTATTTGAGATTGAGATTTGTAGTTTTAGGTTTTCCCTGGTATTAGATTTATTCGATTTGTCACAATTACCACTTTGACAAGTACTTCAAAATCAACTTGTCCAAAACAAAATCTTTCTCTGTGCCTTAGTTTCCTCATCTGTAACATTGGGATAAAAACTGGGGAAATATATGTAATATACTAAAGTGCCTGGTGGATAGTAAATACCATAAAAGTTGTTACTATTATCTTTTAAATATTACAAAGTCTTTAATGAGAGTACATGATAAAATTTAAGGTTATTAGTATGTCATACAAGGTCTTCCAAAATTTGGACTCTTCCAACTTTTTTAGACTTATGTTTTTACCTTTTACCTCTTCCCAATGCCCTTAACCTATGTATTGATTTATGTAGTTTTCCACCAAATGAACTGTGCTTTTTTGCATTTCTAGCACTTTGTAACATTGGTATTATTAACTCCCTTCTGTAGGTGAGAAAACTGAGGCTTGCAGAATTTCATTGCTCAATACGAGGCTCTAAATAGAAAAGCTAGAGTATACTCCCACTTCTTTCATTCCAAATGCTTTGGGCCTTCCCACAGCCAGTCTTCCTGAATGATAACTGTTAATTACTGCTTGTCACTTAGGTGCTCAAATGTCGGGTGCTATACTTCATGTCATTTAGTTTTTATTCACTTTTAATTTATTGTGATATCTTGCATACCCTTAAAAAGTATAGAGAATTGTCTAACATAAACACTTTTAACCTGACAGTCAGCTTCAGAAATAAATATTAAAAATATGGTGGGAGCCTCTATGGACCTATTTCTTTTTGCTACCTAGTGGACCATCCTTATTTTGTTGTCATTTCTAGGTAGGCTTTTATATTTTAAAAATTATATATGTATGTAACTATAGTCTCATTTTGTGTTAAAATGTCTTAATGTATTTTTAAAATAGGTAATACATAATTCAAAATTCAGAAGGGGTATTAAAAGAATATAAACAGAAAATTTCTCCCTGTCTTATATCCACTCACTTTCTTCCCCTGTACAACCAAAGTTATTCATGTTTTTTTTTTGTATATCACTTCTAGAGCTATAACACTTCATAGCATGTAACATGAGAGATTTTAGATACATTCAAGCAAAGATATGCCCTTTTTCCACAGCTTGTTCTTTCACTGAATTTTTCTAGGCAATTGTTCCATTTAAGGGCAAAAAGATTATCCTCACTGTTTATAATAGCCACATAATGCTTCATGGTATGGATCAACCAGAATTTCTTTAACTAGTTCCCCACTGATGAATTTTTAGGGTGTTTCTAATAAATGTTATGCTAATACATACAGCACTGTAACGAATATGAAACAGAAGTGATTAGCAGAGGTCTGAATGTATCTGTAGGAAAAATTCCTTAAAATGAAATTGGTAGGTCAAAACATAGGCCTTTGTTTGTAGTTTTCTTAGATATTGCAGAAGTTTCCCTCCTTTGAGAATATTTTCCACATTCTATTTATTTTCATTAATTCATCATGACATTTATGAGTTCTATCCTAAGTTCTTAGAACTTTTAGTTCATTTATATTCCATTATTTATTTAGGCTGTTTTCTATTTTTTTTATTACAAACACACTGCAGTGAAAATCATAGTAATTTTTTAGTAACATGTTCAAGATTTTTTTCTAGTGCATGAAAAAAATGTATATACAGTATGTGTATCTTATATACACACACATAAATGAGAGTAAGACTGGCAGATCACAAAGTGTCTACTTTTTTTTGCTTCATACCATCAAACTCCTTTCCAAAGTGGTTTCACAACCCCCACCCACCAGAAATGTTAAATGTGTTTATATTGCCCCATGTCTTTGCCAACACGTGGTAATAATGAAACGCTACTTTTTTTAACGAACATATGTATCTAAGTATTTTTTCATATGTTTCTAGGCTTTTTGAATTTCTTTTCCTGTGAATTATTCTCTCATTCTTTTCTTATTTGTTTATTGAGTTAGTTGTTTTTCCTAGTGATTTGTAAGTCTGCATTTTGTTTTGTTTTGTTTTGGCTGTACAACACTATCCCTGTATAACAGAAGCCTGTGAGAGTATTGTTGAGTGTAACTGAACTGGTCCTGTTTGTTGTTCTTATAGGCACAGTGTCTTATAAATGTAAGTGGTGATGCAGTGATTTTTGTTCGTGAATCAGACTTAGAAGTGGTATCAACTCAGCAACCTACTGCCAACTGCCAGCCATTATGTACTGGAGAAGATGTTACAACCTGAAGAAAATAGGAAAGAAAGAGCGTGTCACCTCATTGAGATTTATCTATCTCCATTGTTTTGTCATTATCGTCTTAGACAAAAAGAAATGAAATTAATTTGAAATAGTTAAGAAAGAATTGATACATTATGCGTAGATTTTTGTCTGGAATCTGTTGGAGGCATGAGAATTTCTAATCTTGATGTTTTGTTTGCCTAGTCTATATAGACAGGCCCCATGAAATATTCTGCCTTCAATAAGTTAAAATACATTTCTAAGTGAACTGTAGCAAAAATGAAAGTTACTTGTAATTTATGTTGATTTTAATAAAATCATAATTTAAAAATGAAATGGGAGGATTATCAGGAAACTAGAATAGCTACCTTATATAATTTAGAAAAACAAAGCAAGAAAGTCACATATTGTTAATGAATAAATAATAGATTTGAGAAATGTGGGGAAAATGGAGAAGAGTTTTCAGAAAACTACTGTGTGGATTTCTTAATGTGTTTTATTTTGATGAGGAATTTGGTAATAACTCTCAGTGGGTAAGTGCTTTCAGCCGTCTTTTAGAAAGAAGTTAAAATTCTGCAACTTGATTCTGAAATACCTCTAACTACTGTAAAATAAAAAGTAATTTATTAAAACTGATATCTTTTCATTGAAAAGTTTTAATATCTCCAATGAGGGAGGAAAATTTATAATATAATTTCATAACTGGCCACATTTGAGTTAGTATTTAATTTGTCTGAAGAGGCTTGGCTTCAGGTGGGAAGAAAACATTGGTGAATTTTATTGAAGTAGTAAAAATATAATTGATCTAGTAGGAACATAAAAATTATTTTCCAGTAAAATAATATTGCACTCCTACCAAATATACAGAATTTTAGTAGTATCTTAGAAATTTTTGGTAGTGAGTTGGAGTGTATTTGGCATAGAATTTGGAAATATAAATTGAAGGAAATATGCTGCAAAATGTTGAATGTATACATAGAAATACTTTTTTGTCAATGCCAAATGCCCACTGTAAATGAATCTTAGATATTATATTTCTCCTTTGCACAATAAAAATTTCTTTATGAACTCATGATTTTGTTCTCCAACAAGCTGCCCTATGGATTAGTTATTTCCTTGTTATTACAGGTGTCAATATTTTTCTGTATTTTGTTTATAATTTTATTTTTAAAATAAATTTATAAAGATAAACTGAAATGTTCCTAAATCTCTTTTTTACCTTTTGGATACAGTACTGTGAGTTTTCTGAATCACTTAACCATCTTATCATCTCCATTTATTCCTCTGTCAACAAACATCCATTGTGTGCTTATTATATGCAAAGCCCTGGTCTTTCACCAACTGAGTAGTTGGCATTCATTCAAGAACATAGTTTTAGGTGGTGAACAAAAATAAGTTCTTGCTTTCATAGAACTGCAAATTTGGCTGCAAAACCAAATAATTTGTAAAATGTGTTATATATTATATTAAGCAATTACTAATGTTTATTGAATGCTTATTATATGGAAGCCAGTCTATTTTTTTTTTTTTTTGTATTAACTTTTTAGTCCTTATAGAAGCCCTACTGTTAGCTCCATGTTGTAGTTGAGAAAGTTGAGTAGTTTGTGTGAGTTTCCCAAAAACAATGAATAATGGAGCCAAGAATCGAGCACAGTCAGTCTGGCTCTATATCCGACACTAAGTGAGAAATGTGAATGCAGCTTGGAATGAAGAGTTGAAAGAAGTTCAGTCAGGAAACAGTGCATAGGAAACAGTTGACTCTGGTCATAATTTCATTCATCCATCCATTTTGTGATAGCCTTGTATATTCCAGAGTCCTATTTAGGCAAAGGAAAAATAATGCAGCTATCTCTAATTGAGTACTTCTTTGTGTCATGTCCTGTGCACATAATTGCTAATATTTAAAGGAAACCACTAAAGAAACAGTGACATCTCCGTTTTTAGTGTGACCAATTTGCTATTCATCATAGACCCAGACTACTTCTGTCAAAGCTGGAGTTTCTTTACTCAGACTTGTAGCCTGGCCACTTGGACTTGCACCGAGGCATTTATTGTTGGATATCTTTGAGGCATAATTGATCTGTACCAACGTTGGGTCTTTCCAGAAAGACTGAATATTACCTAGGCTCCACAAACTGCTTGTGTGGAACCCCCAAGAAACAATCATCTGAAATGAACGTGTTCATACTTAGTCTTTTGGAAATACTGAGGCCAGTGTTGGATTGCAGTATTGGACTATTGGCAAAAGTTTATGTATTTATAATAACTTAATGCATACACTTTCTTGATGAAAGTGCTACATAAATTATCTATGTGGCTTAATCTATTAAAATGTCAAGCTTCAAACTATACATTTAAAATAGATGAGTTTTACTGAATATATGCTATATCTCCGATGTTTTAAAACATTGGAGGCTACATAGTAGGTTATTAACAGCAATGGGGAGGTATGTGATGGGATTCGAAAGCTAGCCAGGTAAAAGGTAAAAAACTGCTTAAAAACTGTGTATATTGGGGCTGTGGCTATGGCTCAGCGGTAGCTCTGTTATTTGTTGTTCATCCACACAGTTTATGGTAACCCTTACCATATCCATACTTGAATTTGATTATGAATAATGTGACTATCTTTTCTTTTTTAGGTTCCCTTAGTTAAGATGACTTTCCTTCTCCTTTTGATTTTTTGGACCATCTTGAAAGTTCATCAAGTTTAACACATCCTGAATTGTTCTCATCTCAGTGGTTCAACACCAAATTAGCTATCCTTTGCTATTTCTTCTCCTCTTCCTCCCTCTCCGCCTGCATAAGTGTCATCATCCACTTAAGCAGTTTTAGTTTGGATCAGGAACATAGGAGATCCAAAGTCTATCCTTTTCCCTCATGGCATCCTGTTTTATACTAAATTATTATTTTTTAAATCAATAGAAATAGTGCATTTTATTTATTTATTTATTTTTGCATTACAATTCTTAATACACCATTATACCATAATTTATCATATCTGATTATATATAAGGTATGTTAAACAGTGCATTTTATAGGCAAAAGTAGAGTGCAGTAAATTCGTAAACCAGTAAGTCATTATCATTATTAAGTACTAAGTACTGTGCATAATTGTATGTTCTATATTTTTATACAATAGGCAGTGCAGTAGGTTTGTTCACCCCAGCATCACCACAAATACATTGTTCTATGACATTAGAATGGCTAAAATGCCATTAGGCAATTGGCTCCCTGCTGATCTTATGGAATCCACCACCGTATAGGTAGTTTGTGATTGACAAATGTTATGCCAGCACATGGCCATATTTACAAATGCTTACATAAAATCTGATTCAAGCTCTGGACCTTTTTCCTAAAAGAAAAATAAGCATACACACAACACTTAGCATCTATTTCAGGAGGTTTATCGAAACTACTTCATCAACCCCAAGTCAAATAAGGAAATGGACTGAAGAAAATATTAGTAATGGCAGGGCAAATGCTGTACTAAAAAGTTTGGCTTTTTTTTTTCTGATAAGAAAGCCAAGGCATTTTGAAGACTACATGAATATACATATATATATACATATATATGTAAAGTATATATTAAATTTAAGGTGTACAACATGTTCTGAAATATGTATACATTGCTGAATGGCTAAATAGAGCTGATTAACATGCATTGCCTTGCATTTTTTTAAAGTGAAACCACTTAAAATCTATTTCAGATATTTTAAAAAATATAACACACTGATACTAATTATAGTCACTACATGCATAATAGATTTCTTGAAGTTATTTCTCCTAGTTGAAATTTTGTGTCCTGGGACCAATATCTCCCCAACCCTACACCTTTGGTAACTACTCTCTCCTATGAGTTCAACTCTTAATTCCACAAATAAGTGAAACAGTGTTTTGTTTTTTTGGGTTCGTGGCTTATTTCATTTAACATACTGTCCTCCAGGTTTATCCAGGCTGTCACAAATGAGAGATTTCCTTCTTTTGGTAGTATTTCATTGTGTGTATAGACTGCATTTCTTCATCCTTTCATTGGTTGATGGACTCTTTAGTTGATTCCATATCTTGGTTATTGTGAATAACACTGGAATGAATATGGGAATGCAATGTCTCCTCAACATATTGGTTTCTTCTCTTTTGGATATATACCCAGTAGTGGGATTACTGGATCATATGGTAGTTCTATTTTTAATTGTTTGAGAAAGCTCCATAGTGTTTTCCATAATGGCTATAATAATTTATATTCCTACCAACAGTGCAAGGCTTTCCTTTTCTCCACATATTCTATAACACAGCCTATATTTTAAAGGCAAAGTATGAAAAATAAAATGATTCTTCTGCTCTTTGAAGTAAGAGTTTTAGGTCTGTAGGAATCAATTAAAACAAGCATTTGTTCATTGGAGTTCAAAAGATAATATTTTAAGTATTAAAAAACCTGAAACAATCTATAGAGGGCAGAATAATGGGTCCCCTCAAATCTTCTCATCCTATTCCCCCGTGCATATATTACATGATAGGATAAAATGCACTGTGGATGTGATCAAGTTTAAGGACCCTGAATTGGGAATATATGGTTTATTTGGGAGGGCCCTAGAGTCTAATCACATCAATCTTGAAAAGTGAGGTAGAAGAGAAAGAGAAGAGTGTGTTAGGAGGATTCAACCTGCCATTGCTGGCTTGAAGAAGGGAAAAGGAAGCTACCAGCCAAGAATGTGGGTGCCTCTAGATGCTGGGAATGGCCCTGGCTGACAGCTGGAAAGGAAACAGGGATCTTAGTTCTGCACTGTAAGGAACTGAATTCTGCAAAGAAGGTGAATGAGCCAGGAAATGGACCGCCCCCCGCCCCGCCCCAGTCTCCAGAAAGGAACACACTCCTACCAATGACTTGACTTTAGTCTGGCACACCCATTAGTTCCAACTTACTGCAATAATAAATTTGTGTTGTTTAAGCCACCAAGGTTGTGGTAATTATGATAGCAGTAGAAAAATAATACAAATTCTTAAAATGTGGAAGAATGCAGATACGTAAAGTAAAACATTTCCATATAGTCATGCATTTGTGGTAACATTTAGTAGGAAATGTTTCATAAACTCAGAATATAATTATAGTAATGTTTCATATTTTTCCTTTTTTTTTGTATATCTGCCTAATTAGCATTAGTTCAGAATCTCCCACCTTTGAGCTTGACTCTACTTATAGAATTCTCCCAAGAACTCCAGAGTCTCAGCACGGCTCTCAAAGGGTTAAATCCAGCCCCCACACCTCCTTAGTTTGCTATTTCCTTTGCTTCTCACTATCCTGTGGTGTCCTGTTGGAGTGGTCTCCACATAGCACTGAGAAGATACTGCACTCTTCATGCAGGGATGATGCCATTCTAGCCAAGACTCCCACACCGGCTTCCAGGATACTTTAGACCATAGATACCGTTTTCTTCCAAGGAAGCATGCCCCAGTTCAATTCCTACTGCTCAGCTCTCTTACTTTTCAATTGTGGCTGCCTCCAGAGGACAGGAAACCTAAAGAGGTCCATCTTATATCTGGTTCTGGAATCTGCTGTATCCAAGCTGTATTCTCAGTGCTTCCAGGAAACCTTACGGCTACCTCCAGAAAAGCCATGAGAAAGGATTCCAAGGGAACTTAGGAATGTCAAGATGACCAGTAACAGCCATTAAACTTCATCTGTTCATGTCATTATATTTTGAAAAGGTCTTGATATGGTAAAAAAATTATTAACCTTTTAAGTATTTAATTTCATATGTCTTTTGACTTCTGTTTTAACAAATCTTTCCTTACTACAAAAGCATAATTTGTTGGGGTTTATGGAGGTATAGCTTACATACAAAAATTTTTACCTTTTTCGAATGTAAAATTCTATGAATTTTGAAAGATACTGTGGTTGTTCATCCATCACCACAAGCAGATCCAGAACATTTCCATCATACTAAAAAGTTGTTTCATATTCCTTTGTAATTAATTTCCTCTGCCAACACTTTTCCCCTGGAAACTGATGATCTGTTTTTTGTTTCCATAGTTTTACCTTTTCAGTAGTGTTATATAAGTGGAATCATACAGAATGTAGCCTGTGAGTCAGCAAATGCATTTCAGAGTCATCTGTTATTGCTTGTGTTAGCAGTTCATTCTTGCCTTTTTTTCCCCCCTGATTAGCTTTCCATTGTATGGATGCTTCACAGTTT